ATCACAATGAATGCTACCATGTAGCAAGCTGAGAAATGAATTGGTAAGTCTCCTAACTTGTTCTTCTTCCCCTGCCTTACATGATGATTATTTCTATTTTAATATACGCTGGAAATACCGACTGAGACCTTCGGGTTGTTGACGTTACTATAAATGGCTGTTTCTGATTTGGATTTTTCTCACTTTAATTATTGAAACCTCATGGTTGAATGTCAGGCTAACTGCTGCGAAAAGAACTTGATAGGTTTTCTTACGATCGCACACCTCTTCAGGTCAAGCACTCATGTAAGACATCACTGTCTTCTTTACGCCTTTCATGGACGGACACAGAAGGATGAATGGCACTGGGCTCTGACGGCCAAGCCGGTCATGACAGACATGCCCCATTGTGGCAGGCCTAGAAAACCTCGCCCACTGATCTGTGGCTCATACACAACCAACGTTATCTTCCATAGCTTGGTTTTCTGCTGGCTGACGGAATTAATAACAGGAGCACGCTACTATGTAGCCAAGTGATGTAGCTCTTATTAAAATGGTTAGTATACCACCTACTCTATTCTCCTCGGACATTTAATTCCCACAATGTGATGACATCTTGATGACGAGTCTTATTCGAATTCTCGATGCAGACACAAATATTTAAATAACCATTCATGCCAAACTGAACCTGTGCTCTTCAGCATCGTTTATCACACGCACAATGCATATCCTAGTTCGTAACACTAACTTGGGCTGAGAGCAGGTTGCCACTATTTATATATTGTACGTCGGTGCCTCTCCGTCAAATCAAGCACCTCCTTCACATGATGAGACAATTACGGCACAAAGACAAGCATATGTCCAAGCTAGCCTCGCTAGTGAAGACGAGAATGTCAACCTTCCTGACTTTCCTGACTATCCGTTTTCGAAGCAACACAAGTCGAAAGTGCATAGTGATGGCGGCTAACGTGTGTTACAGACATGTAGTTGCATCAGTACCCGACAGTTTCAGGCTGATAAATCGCATAATGGTATGTTTTACCCGCCTAAATTTCACTTCGTCTCGTTCTCAACCCTACTTCTTCCATGATGATTTACTCTTTTATCACGACGGTCAACATAGTCTATACATTGATGACCACAGCCTGTGACAGGGCATTGATCTGATACTACACATTATTCTTATCCTTCGTTACGCATTGAATTTATATCCAAGGAATTTGGGCTAATTTTAATGCAGCATAGGGTTCTTATATCGTCCCTCATGTCCTACATTCAGTAGTTGTATGGTGCAACACCATCCTGACTGGGGCCAGCACTCGGTCTTGGGCTTACACATTCACTCTCGATCTCAAGATGATCGTTGGAATATGAATAATAGCCCGACATACGAATCGCTAGTTTATTGTAAGCCTGCGCCGATTAGGTAGGTATATATTAGATATACTGCACCGGAGCGTGCTAGTAATAGTAATATACGAATGTGAACCAACTATTCTTCCAATTCCAGATTATCTTTCTCCATGATTGTATCTCGCCGTAGATGTGTTTTCTTTTGACGCCCGATGTCTGCATGCACATGGATTGTCACATGACCCCCGAAATGGGAAGACAAAACATCTTATCTTCAACTTCAACTTCAAACTTCCAACACTTCAGCAGCCTCCAGGTTTGATATTCCTTTCTATCTCTGAACATATCATGACAAGCTGACCTCAAACAGAGCAAGCAGTAAGATGACTGATGAGTTTCATTGGACTACTTCACCACGTTCCACGGTGTCCTACTCTGGCCTTCACAGATAGACATAACAGGTCTATGTATCAGTGATACGCCAAACTCTTAGCTGCCATCTTATTTGAGTTAAGTCTCTTGGGTGTCCAGGTTCATCCCAGCCAAGCAGAAAGGCTGCAGCCAGTGAGAACATCACGTTGGCTTCTTTCCATTGCTCCAGCGAATAGATAAGAGGGTTAACCGCCCGCCTTGCAGAAGACGCAAGGTTCTGATGCAAGCACACTCACGCCAATACATGCTAAGTTTGCTAGCAGCATTACACATGCTGTATCGAGAATGAACATGTGTTGGCATGACATGGTACTTTCATGTATACATGGAAGCACCGAGTATGCCTAGGGGAAGGATGTGGATGAGTGTATTGGAGGAATCCCGCCCGTCGGATATCCAGGGCGTCAATGATTTTCCACCAGGAAAACAGAACGGTTTGGTGGCTCGAAAAACTATGGGGAAACTCTCTCATATGTGAGGAAAGCAAAGAAGAAAAATGGAGTAAATTACTCCCTCTTTTACTTGCTTTTTCCCAGCTCTGCATCCCTTTGAACGTGATTAATTAACGTTCCTAGCGTTAATTAGGTTTCTATTAATATCACTAGCTGCAGCCTGCTGTGTGCAAAGCACCGCACGGCTCGACAGGGGCCGGGGGATTGTACCAACGCTATCAGGCATTTATTTAAAAATAACTCGGAGAGCCCAGCCAGCAGCCGTCTGGCCAAGTTCATTCGCTCGTCCTGAACGACTCATTCTCCAACCACCGAACTTCGTCCTGGCCCCCAAAAGCGCAAAAAAAAAGTAGCTCCCGCTTCCCTGGCCGTCTCAGACCCGGACGGCCTTCAAGTTAGCCAATGCATTCGTTCCCGGCAAACGGCCCGCGCGCTGGTGGCATCCACGTCGCCTTTGTTGGTGTGATTTGTCTCTTTTAGGCTGTTGAAACCAGAAACGGCTGCTGTACAGCGAGGGCAACGCACGACATACCCCGGTGCTTGTTGGTCCACCGCGGTGCTGCAACCGCATTTTTGACCTGGTCTGGTGTCGAGCTTTTGATTTAAGATGAACAGGTGTGGCAAAACCTCCGTTTAATAATACATACAATGTCTTTTTTTCCTATCTCTTCTTTTCCTCTCACCTCCTCCTCTGTTCGAATGTGGCATTGTGGACTGGGGGGTTGTGCTTTTTCATTATCCCGCGTATTCTAGACGCCGGGCTATATGCTCCTAGTTAGCTAAGAGCATCGTCGGCTGACCTGGTCTCTTCACCTTCGCGCTTGTAACTAGTTCGTTGGATAACAGGCCGGATAGTTTGGAGGCATCGTCTTCTCACCATCACCACATACCGGCCGCACCTCACTCAGCACCTCTCGCCGCGCCTATCCACCCCCCGCGTCGACGAGAGAATGTTGTTCAGCCTCCTGCTCTCACTACGTCGTTGAGTGGGCTTCAATTTCCAGGTCCGCCTGGCCTACCTTCCGCCGGTGGCCTCTCGTTCACCCCAGTATCAATGACTTCTCCCTACCTATCATCCGGCATGTTGAGCGGTGTGACGGCTACCACATCGCCTATGTCCGCGGGTGCACGACCAAGGTCTTTCAATTCGCGGTATAATCCACAGGAATGGGGGCCCATCTCTGGTGGCACATCACCCGTTGCGGCAACGGGAATGGTACATCAGCCAGCGCCCTCCTCGACCTCAGTGACAGGTATATATAGCCTTATGTATAGGTGTATTGAAAGTATTAAGCATTAACCAAAAGGGTATATGCACAGCTTCGCCGCCGCCTCCTCCGTACTCCCCCCCTCGAGCAACGTTTCGAGGGCAGCGCGCTCAATCTCCACAGGTCGGCTACCCAGTGGCTAGCAGTCCTAGTCCTATTTCTGCACCAATTCAGCAAAGTACAGCTCCTTCGCAGTCTCGCCAGAGAGAGTCTCCAGGGTATCATTATTCCGTCCCGCGCCCGGGTCCGTCACCATCAGTAGGTAGTCATGAGCTTGAACAGCCGCAACGTCCCGATCATAGGACATCTTTCATGCCTTCTCATTCAACTCACCCGCAACCTTCAGTGAATGATGGTTCTTCTCGCCTTCAAGGCCATTACGGGGCTAGTTCTGGCCTTGGTCGTACCGAACCAACACCTTCCAGGTCATCCCAGACCGTTTTACAATCTGTACCCCCAGCGTCAAGGAGAGCTGTGTCGACCGGTGACTTACCTCACGGCAGAACCTCAAATAGGGCCAGTACTCAGGTGGATAGTCAATCATCTTCTAGGAATGGTAGATGGGAGCCTGGAATGCCACTTCCACCGCCGCCTCCAGGGCCCCCTCCAGCGAGTGCTCCCAGAAGGACTTCTTTTTCGTCACAGTCGGCGGTAGAGAGGAACAACTTACCCCTGAATAGAGAAGAAAGGCTACGGTCCGGCTCGGGTTCATCGTCAATAGAACCTAGTCTTCCTACTATCCCAGCAACTCCGCTTGGATGGGTAGCTGACCAGGTTAACGCCCCAATGACCCCCCGACGGACATCAGCATCCCCTCATGACCAAAATCGGTCGGTTCCCGCGTCACCAAGTCTGTCTAATGCCGTAGCAAACAACTATCACGACGCTTCAAGCCAACCTAAACCATCTTCCATCAGGACTCAAAGCCAAAAGGGGATCCGTGAGCGCCGTATTCAAAGCAGGAATAACAGAACTGAAAACAGCACTCATGGACAGGAGACCAAAGATGAGAGCAATGACATGTCATGGCCGACAGACCTTGTTCTTAGCTCACCTGTATCTGGTGGACTTGTACGTCGACGCACTCTTACCAGAGCCACGCCACGCAGTGCTCGTAGCAATCCAGGAGAGGAGCCCTTGCACAGCGCCAGATCGGCTACTTCGCCCTTCACCAATAAAATGAATACCATCACCTCTCCGTATTCTGCCACTCCCAGGCTGCAGACATTTCCGCACGAGCCGTTGGCAAACAGAGGCCAGACCCCTCCATTTTCTCCAGGGAGAGAGCAGAAATCGCCAACCATGACACCTGAATCGCTGCATTTACCTCCCAAGGCTCTGCCAACTCCACCCCCGGCACAACAGCAGGATGCGGCTCTGCTTGGACTAGAGCCGCGTAGCGCCGGTTCAGATAGGCCACTTTCGCACCTTTTACATCTTCCAGTTGACGTGTCCCCTTTAGAAGCTCAACCCCTGGTCCCAGTTAAGGCTCCCTCCCGACGTGCCTCGCCCAAATCCGCCCCATATGCACCTATAGATGGTAAATTTATTCAAGATGCGGAACATCGGTATCATGAACATCTAAGGAAAGAATCAGAAGCGACCAATGCTACTGATGCGTTGCAAGCCTTTTGCAAATTTATAATTGCCGAGTCAGGAATCCGTCGCCAACAGTATAGCTCGCAATGGAGTGACTTGACTTTTGATCCTAAGACCGTTGTTGACAAGTTATTTGAACTCTCAAATAACCCGTTAAAGGTCGAAGCTAGGCCTAGGGATAGCTCTATTGCTCCGTCCGAACCTCCACAGACTCCTGACAGGGTCACCCCCAAAAGGCGTACTTCTGTAATTGAATCCGGTTTGGGGAATGGCTATAAACCCGCTTTATCACCTATTGCAAGCATGAGTATGAGCAATGAAGAAAGCTCTCGGGGTCGTGCACCTAGTCGTTGGTGGGAATCGCAGACTGGCAGTGATAACGGAGATGTTGGCAGTAAAGTCTCACGCACTAAACGGGAGACTAAATACATGGGCCTACCGCGAGAGATGCGCGAGGCGATGCAAATGGACCATTTAACACCGACCCAGGCTGCTTACGATCAACAATACTCTGGGGACCAGAACCCTTATGCCAATTATGGGCCGAATGAGTATCCTCCAGAGAAGGTAGGCTGGAATGACCTTGATGCTTCCCAGCCCTCAGGACCATCACGGACACTATCAGCCATCAACCGTGAAGCTCGCAAGTTGGACATCTCAAGATTGGTTACCTTGCCTCCCCCGTACCCAAGGCATTATCCAGGTGTGAATAACAATCACCCAGACATGGCGTTTTATCGAACGACCGTTCGAACTATTAGTGATTTGTCCGAGGTTCACGCAACCAAAGCAAGTTTTGAAAAGAAGATCAAGGCTCTCCGTGAGAAGCACCAGAAGGAGGCCCAAGAAGAACTCCGTGGGTTCAGAGCGCGGATGAACCAAGGAATCGAAAGTGGCAGCATATCTTACGCGGATGCAGCCGATGCAGAGGCCAGTCGGCAGGCGCAAGCAAATGAAAAAGAGCGTGGGATCGTTCAAGCGGAGTTCGACATGTATCAAGTCGAAGTCTTGGAGCCGATGCAGAGCATCCTGAAAGATAGGATCAAAATTGCAACAGCCTGCATTGATGAACTGCGAGGCAAACTCTTCGACTCAGCACAGCGTCAAACACCAGATCAGACCCAGGAAGAGGGCGATGAAGAGCCTGAGCTATTAGAGAAATTGACACAGCTTAAATGGTTATTCGACGGCCGTGAGAACCTGTTCCGCGAAGAGTATGATATTCTCGGCGAGCGCAACGAGCTCTTCAGGGCCATCGTATCTCTCCCCTACCGCCTGGCCAAAAACACAGAAAAGCTCACTGAAACCGACAACTTCTTCATCCGTGATGCTCAAGATCGAAAACTCGCCTTCGTCGCCGAGACTCTTAAACGGTTTGAGAGCTTCATGGACGTGATCGAAGCAAACGTCAGCCGGGGAGTTGAGACTCAACTGTCGGCGTTCTGGGACATTGCTCCCCCCATCGTCATGATCCTACAAGAAATCCCACAGAGCCTTGAGGGATTCTCCGTCCGCATTTCGCAGAAGGAATATGACGAGAACCCAAGCTATTACCAGTTCCCGCTGCAATATTTATATTCGCTGGTTACTCATGCTGGTAAATCAACGTACCAGTTCATTGAGTCCCAGACAAATCTCCTCTGCCTGCTTCATGAGATCAAATTCGGCTTGATGAATGCGAACTGCAAGTTCATGGAAGTACAACGGATTATATCTGGCGAGCCAGAGGAAGACGTCCGCCGTGAGATGCAAGAGTCTCGTTCTGAGGAAGAAAGGATCCTCACCCTCGATCTAAAGGAGAAAGTCGGCATGGTCGAAGGCCAATGGGCTGAAGCTCTAGGCCAGCAATTAGAAAATGTCAAAGAACGTGTCCGTCACCGTCTTGCCAGCGAAGGCGGATGGGAGGAAATGGAGCAGATGGAACAGACTTGATACTTTTCCACGAGCTTTTATACCCCTTCTCGCTTCCTCTTTTCTTCTTTCCCCCTGTCTCACCGTACGGGGGTATGATGTGGGGATGGGGCTTCCATGTTTTTTTTTTTTTTTTATTCGTTTCTTCTTTCACATATGTGTTCCTATTCTAATACTGCTTGATACCCACCTACGTTCGTTTGTATATTTTGACTTTTTTACCGTCTCCGAGTAATTACTTGACATGAAGGAGACACTAATGAGTATGAAAATGGAGTTGATGACCCTATTGCAGGCTTTTTTTTTTTACAATATAGAATGGAAAATATCACTATACTCCTTTTTCCGTTTGCTCGGTTGATCCCGAGTTGGTGCACTTGCATAACTCGTTTGAAAGGGGTAGCTTGGTAGATCCCTCTACTTTGCCAATTCCGTCCGAATTTCCCTGAAGAAATAGCATCCAACCTCTCGTCACATTATATTGCCCATGCCCTCTCATTCGTCATCTATTGATGCATCATCGTCCGTCAGTTCATCCCTATCAATATCAACTCCGCTATCAAAAGCCTCCGCTGCCTAGGTCAAGCTCTATCACGTGATCGTCCTCTTAAGAATAAAACCTGAAGAAAATCTCAACTTTACTTTTCCGTTCTTTCTAGAGCTTTCTATAAAACAACATCCACTTGGAAGAAAAATAAAAGGAGAAGAAGAGACAGCTTTCTAGCTCCTCCAACGTAGTGATAATCTCGCTCCTGTTCTCTCTCCCTCTCTTGATTTCTCGAGCTGGCTGACCACTATAACATCGTGCAGTGACTGCGGCTCTTTGGGCTATTCGTTCGATGTAAGTTACCCAGCCCCTCCTGTGATACCCTTACCACCAATTCATCGCTTGTTTTATGATGATACCCATGAGCTGGCACCAGTCCTAGAAAGATTTGTACTCTGTTTTATGCGGAATGCTTAACCGGGCTAGAAAAAAGCCCATCTGAAGACCTATCAATCCCGTTTTGTTACTGCTTCGAGATCGTCAGCATTGGACCGTTTGGCTAACAATTGCATGGCCTTTTACAGATAGAAGAACTTTTAAAAGAGAACTAGCATCTGGAGACGTACACTTCTCTCGGACTAACGCTCTTTACAGTTTCAATAAGCCTTTCAAAATGGTCCTCCACAACCCGAATAACTGGCACTGGGTGAATAAGGATGTCTCTAGCTGGGCCAAAACCTATCTAGAGGAAAACTTGGTTGGAATCTCCGCTGAGGAGAATGGAGTGACTGCTAAAATAAATAAATTGGTCAGCATGGATGGCGACGTGGACGTCAGCCAGCGGAAAGGAAAAGTCATAACCCTCTTCGATGTCAAATTACAGCTTGACTATGAAGGTTTGTGGATATGCCTGCCTACCTACCCATCATGTCTTGCTTTTTCAGATAGCAATGCATACATTCAATTCGACCGTTTGTCAAGGTTGAGCTCTGGCTAAACGTTTATCTTTTCTTTGATTCAGGAACCACGAGTGAAAATGAGGATGTCACTGGTTCGATTAAAATCCCCGAGGTCGCCCATGACACCGAGGAAGATGAGTTCGTAGTATGTGAATCCCTTTGTTTGGACGAGCAATTCCCTCCCCCGGTTGTAAAATAGCCAATTCTTGTAACGGAAGCCAACAGTTTCTCCAACAGTTTGATACGAGCATATATTCCGAGACCGCGAAGAAACAGCCCGTCAAGGATCTGGTTCGCGCGAAGATAGTGCCCCAGCTGCGCGCTGCACTTGTCAAGCTTGGTCCTGCTCTGATCAATGAGCACGGAAAGGACATTCAGCATGCTCCTGGCTCCAATCCCTCCAGCGGCTTCGCTACTCCCGCGACTCTTAAATCTTCCACTCCCCAGCCATCAAAGGCCGCTGTTACCGCGACGACCACGACGACCACTACCACCACTGGAAAATCAGCCGTCAACACGGTCTCCGTGAACGCCTCCGACGAGTTCCGTACTACTGCCGAGCAGCTTTACACCACCTTTACCAACCCTGATCGCCTTGCTGCCTTCACTCGTGGAGCTCCTCGTCGGTTTGACGGTGCTAAAGTTGGTGGACAATTTAGCATATTTGACGGAAACGTGGACGGTGAATATGTTAAACTTGAGGAACCCAGTCTTATCGTCCAGAAATGGCGACTGGCCCAGTGGCCTGCTGGTCACTACAGTACCCAAGAGATCAAATTTGTTCAGAACGATGTTGACGGAGTCACTGTTTTGAACGTGAGGTGGGATGGTGTCCCCGTCGGACAGGAAGATGTCGTTAAGCATAACTGGGATGGATATTATGTCCGCAGCATCAAACAGACTTTTGGGTAAGTCACTTCCTTTGCATGGTATCATGGGGGAATATAATACTGATTGGCTACCAGGTTCGGCACAATCCTATGATGGATGACCTGTTGTGCTTAATTGATAGTCGTATAGTTGTCACGTTGCCCATGAGTTTGATGCTAGAAATACATGCATAGAGACACAGTCTCCGGTTTCTCCAGTTCTTTTAGTGATAAGCTTAGCATTGGCCCACCGGGTCATCTCCAAATAAACAAGCATATATTTAGCCTGCCGTTAACCGAAATTTCTGTAGAGTAAAATCAACTAGGACACCGGTCAAATAGTTACCCATCCCCATATATGTCAAAGCCAAATATGCATGCCCTTAATATTATAACCCATGTATCAACCGAATACTCTCAGCATAAAAACGTCCTTTGCATTGCAGGCCCAAGCCCTAACCCTGGCTTCGGCATGTGAATGCTCAGCAGAATCTCCAGATTAGTTTATGCGTGAATGTTGCACTGCATGAACTGACCCCATGGATTCAACCTTGTTTTCGTCTCTTCCTTGGATGTCTCTGATGCAGCGATAGTGGCGACTGGCCCGGTGGCATGCGCTCTACTCCCGCTCTCGTGATGGACATTGCTGTTGTTGTCGATAATAATACAATAATACCCAGGACAGGCTGATCCCGGGTTGGGATCAGGCCTGCCAGGAGCTTCTTTGCCGCCTCTCACGGCTTGCATTATAAAACGAGCCGGCTCTTGCTTGACCTTGCACGAACTCGAATACCTACGTTTCTCGTTCTGTCCCGCCTGAGGAGTATCTAGGGTGCACAAGAGCATTCGTTAGGCGGGAGAGACAAAACGTCAACCTCGATTCCATCTTCAACAACACATTCGCAATGCGGGTAACCAATCTGCTATGGTCTTCCCTGGTTATACCGGCTGCTGTGGGCTTTCAGGTTCGGCTTAGGTCGTCTGAGGATACTGCCCTCGACACCGTGGACGATGGCACACTGCAGAGCCTGCTCGATAACATCGGGTTGAACGGCTCGAATGCCTGGGATACGAGGCCAGGGTTGGTTATAGCTAGCCCTAGCAAAAGGGATCCAGACTGTATGTCCCATGGCTTCTCATAAGTCGATTATAGTAGCTGACATTCGATATATGTGAGCAGATTTCTTTACCTGGACGAGAGACTCGGCTCTAGTGCTCAAGTGCATTACCGACGCCTTTGCCGCTGGAAATACGGCTCTACAGGAGACAATCCACGAATACATCTCGTCTCAAGCTCGCATCCAATTGCTAAACACCCGCTCTGGTGGCCTGTCAAGCGGAGGGCTCGGAGAACCAAAATATCGAGTGGACGAAACCCCATATAATGAGGACTGGGGCCGACCTCAGGCTGATGGGCCTGCTCTAAGAGCTACTGCCTTGATTGCATACGCAAGGTGGCTTCTTGTAAGGATATCGAGCTTCCTGCTATTACTGAGAGCATGATTCTTATTGTTTCGTCATAGGAAAATGATTACTATGATGTAGCTAAATCGATCGTGTGGCCGGTTGTCAAGAATGACCTTTCATATGTCAGCGAGCACTGGAACACTACGGCCTTTGGTACGTTCTTCTCAATCCCTCTCTCTCTCTCTCTCTCTCTATATATATATATATGTATGTATACTGATATCAATCAACAGATTTATGGGAGGAAGTAAATAGTCCATCCTTTTTCACCACTATCGTCCAACACCGAGCTTTGGTGGAAGGTATAAACATGGCGCGGGCATTGGACGAAACCTGCCCTCATTGTGAGTCTCAGGCACCCCAAGCACTCTGCTACTTGCAGTCGTATTGGACTGGAACCGCCGTCCGGTCGAACTACGGTCAGGGTCGCTCCGGGCTTGATGTAGCCTCCATTCTGGGCTCTATCCACACATTTGACCCCGAAGGAGAATGTGACGACACTACCTTCCAGCCTTGCTCTGCGCGAGCACTAGCAAACCACAAGGCAGTCACAGATTCCTTCCGGTCCATCTATAAGATTAACGGTGGTATCAAGCAGGGCCAGGCTGTGGCCGTCGGCAGATATCCCGAAGACGTATACTTTAATGGAAACCCATGGTATCTAGCCACTTATGCTGCTGCAGAACAACTATACGATGCTATGTATCAGTGGAATAAGATAGGAAAAATCATGGTGACAGATGTTTCCATGCCTTTCTTCAAGGATATATATTCCGAAGTGCAGAAAGGGACACACGAGTCTTCCAGCCCGGAGTTCGGCAATATAATTGCCGCAGTAAAGGCTTATGCAGAGGGGTATATTGAAGTTGCCGTAAGTTGATGTTCCAGAACTAGGTATTCCCCGGCCTTGGCTGACCCTATCCCAGAAAAAATATACCCCGTGCACAGGAATGCTTTCAGAGCAGTTCTCCAGAGATAATGGAACGCCATTGTCTGTGGCGGACCTCACCTGGTCATACGCATCGTATCTAACCGTAATGGCCCGACGCAACTCCGTCGTTCCGGCTTCATGGGGAGAGAAGAATGCCCGAGATATCCCATCTACTTGTGTGCCATCGTCAGCAACCGGGCCATACCAAACGGCTACTATAACCTATTGGCCACCAAACCTCACCCCCACTGCTCAGCCGTCGCCCTGCCCTACGGCCTTGCCAACCAAGAACAATGTCCGCTTCAGACTGCTCGCCACCACACAGGTGGGCGAAGACGTCTTCCTAGTTGGATCCATCCCAGAGCTAGGCTCGTGGGACGTCAAGAAGGCTGTCCCGCTCAACGCGGACGTCTATGCAGACAACTGTCACCAATGGTATGTTGACGTTGAGCTTCCGACCGCCGTGGCTTTCGAGTACAAGTTCATCCGCAAGAGAGGAGGAGAGGTGGTGTGGGAGCGAGATCCGAATCGGAAGTACACTGTACCTCAGACCTGCGGCGTCTCGGGAGTGATTAAGAGAGACACCTGGCGATAGATAGCCTTTTATCAGAGCAATATCCATCTTCAATATCCTATTCTACACTTCCTCCCTCAACCCCGACATCCCAATCTACAGCCAAAAGCTATGCTAGTAAGCCGCACTCTATTAAACTCCGACTCGCCGTCCCCAGGGATTATGATTATGTAATATCCTGTTGGTCCGAGAGTCAAACCTTCTTCTTTTTAACTTTAAACTCAAAAAAAGCAAGCACGGACATCAATATCTAGATTCCTCGCCAGCCACGCCCTTGTCCTCCTCCTCATCCTCTCACAACCAACATCACCACGCACGCGCAGATCTTGGAGCTCGTATTCCCCCATCCGCTTAGCGAGACGACAGGGGCTACCACAAGAGCAGACAGTGACTATAAAAAGACCTCCTCCCTTCTCCTCCCCTCCCAATCTTTGACTGTTCAGTTTCATCTGTTGACCAATCTCCTCACAGGTTTGCCCCTACGCTTCTACGACAAAACCGACAACTAGCACTGATACCCTACGAAGAAAAGCCAGATAAACGCAAATATACCCAAGATATGGCTTCAGCTACCTCAGTTCCCAAGACTGGACGCTCTGTCAACCAGGACGTGCCAGCAACGACGCTGACGCTGCGGGCGCGTCCAACGCCCTCCCCCAACTTCGACGAGGGCGAACATCTCGTCCGCGTGCACGCCACCGCTCTTTGTGCAGGCGAGCTTTACTGGCACACCTACGTCACTTTTACCAAGGAGGAAACCGTGCCGGGACCAGACGTGGCAGGAACAGTCGTGTTGGCTCCTCCTTCCTCGCCATTCAAGCCAGGTGACCATGTTTACTGCCGCATTCCTTATTCGCGTCCGGGAGGCGCGAGGGACCACACAATCGCACTTACCTCCGAATTGGCACGCAAACCAAAGAATCTGACCTGGGAGGAAGCCGCCACAGTGCCTCTGTCCGCCCTTACCGCCTGGCAGGCACTTTTCGATCAATCTGACATGTGGGAGGGGCCAGAGGACGCGAGAGTGAAAGGGAAAAGAGTTGCTGTCACCGCGGCGTCGGGGGCAGTCGGGATGTGGATTTTGCAGTTTGCAAGGATTGCTGGGTTCGAGGCTGTTATTGGTACGTGTGGTGATGGAAATGAGGACTTTGTCAAGTCAGTGGGAGCCACGGACGCCGTCAACTACAAGAAAAGCTCGTTGACGGCGTGGGCAGCAGAAAAAGAAGGACGAAAGGCTGATTTGGTCATTGACTGCTTTGGAGGAAAGAGTTTGGCGGATGCTTGGGGCTGTGTCAAGGACGGTGGTGTCTTGATCAGCATGGTTGGATATCCGGAACAGGAGAAGCCAGCAGGGCTTGAGGCGAAGGACGTGAAGAGCCACTTTTTCATCATGGAGCCCAGGGGTGATCAGTTGCAGAAGGTTACGGAGTTGGTGGAGCAAGGCAAATGTTCTTTCTTAATGGACAGCGTCTACCCATTAGAGCAATTTCAGGAGGCTACAGACAAAGTGGAAAGCCGACGTGTCAGGGGCAAAGTGGTGTTGAAGGTGCTTTAGGGGGCTCATGATGAAAAGGTGGTTCAGGGAGAGGGTGCTTGGTGCTTGGAATGAAAGTGTGAAAGGAGCCCATCGACGAGTCCTACCGCATACGATTCGCCGATCCGCCGATACGACGACGAATACGATTACATGGTGGTGAGAAATTTGGGGTGCGGTGGAAAGGAGGATAAGGACAAAGGGTGTTGAAGAGAGACGAGTTGATATATGAAAATACGACCTGGCTGAGGCTCACTGAACGACGACTTGACATTGAAGTTGAAGTTGATACCACAAACCACAAGCCAACAATCCGCCAAAAAGCCAACAACGCATCCATCAAAGCTTTGCAAAGGTCAACAAAATATAAAAACCGAAAATCAAAAATCAAAAGACAAAAACCAACCAAAAGACAAAACAGAAAATAAAACAAGCCAAAACTCAAAAGCAAATATCAAAATATCAAAAACCAACACCAATACAAGAAACAAAAAACAAAGACCAAAAAAAAAAGGACAAAAAAAGGATAAAAAAAAAGACAAAAAAAAAAGTTCAAAAACAAAAGATCAGAAAACACAAAAACGAAGTGATTAGATAGATATGATAAGGGGGTGAGAGATGGCAGAGAGATTGGTGACTGAGTGAAGATTGGTGATTGATGCTTGAAGATTGAAGACTGGAGAGTGGTGACTGGAAACCAACCAACCAACCCCCCCCCCCCCCCCCCCAAAAAAAAAAAAAAAAAAAAAAAAAAAAAAAAGAAAAGAAAAGAAAAGAAAAGAAAAAGAAAAAGAAGAAAAAATACAAAATCCAGCAGCCAAAAAGGCAAAGAACATACAAAATCATAATACAAAATAAAGGTGTGAACCAAAAAAAAGCAAAAAAAAGAGAAGAAAAAAAGAAAGAAAGAAAGAAAGAAAAGAAAAGAAAAAACATTGCAAAAGAAAGAGAGAGAAAAAAAAAAAAAAAAAAAGAAGACTAGATAGTTAGGAATAGTGAGGTGAGAGAAAGACTGAGCTTTAGTGAAGATTGGTGATCGATACCTGATGTCTGATGAGTGCTATTTGGAGAAAGAGGATGACCCTTGAGAGCAATTGGAGAGAAGACTTAGTTAGATTTCGGGGGGGTTGGAAGGTTATTGGGTGAACTGGGGGTGCAGTTGGAAAGTGACTGGACTGGATTGGATTGGAATTGGAACTGGAGTTGGACTGAAACCGAAGGAGTGATGGATTGGACTTTGGGTATGGAATGAGAGTTGGAATGGGGGCTTGAAAGGGTTGCATTGGGACTGGTTGGTAACTAAGGGAAAGAATTGGAACTAGGTTGATGGTTGATTTGAAGAGTGAACCTGAGCTGAAAGAAAGCTATGGTCTTGAAAGATGGGGCGGCAGCTTGGGAATGAGGTCAAGGGACAGTTGTATGGAGGCGGATTAGGAAAGGACATACCCAAAGGAGGATTGATATATGGTGGTGGAGCATACTGAGGACTCGCTGGTGGCCGATGAGGCTTGGGCAAGGTCAAGGAGAGAGAATTGGCATGAGATATGGAGTTGATGGTTGATTGAACTTGGTGATAGGGGATTTTAACCCGTGGTGATTGTCATGGAGTGATTGTCATGGGGACTTGACATGGATGAGGTTGTGAAGTGATTTATGGAATGGTGGGAGGATGGGCATGGGTGATTGCCATGGTCGGTGGTGGATGTGAGATGGATGGATGAAGGGGGTTTCTGACATTGATGATTGACATGATTGATGTTTGATGGTTGATTTGGGGTGACTGACATTGGATGGCTGATATGGGCTGGCTTGGAAAGAAGCAGAGGGCGGTCTGCGAGGAAACCGTTACGAACCGATACCGAACTCGATTGACTCGTCGATGGGCTCCAAGGGACAAGAGATTGAGAGGATAGGAAGGATTTAGGGATTTAGAGAGTTAGGCTGGAGAGTCTTGGGTTGGCGGGTGGGTGGGAATAAACCCAAGACTCGATTTGAGGTTGATGGCCCATGGAGGAGAGAGACATTTGATTGAGAGAGACCCCATGGGCCCAGGGGAGTTTACAGAGAAAGTGATATGGAAGTATCATGATTGATCTTCTATTATCGATGGAGTTTAGGATAGCATGCATGTATCTCCGTAAGTTATGAGCATATGGAGCAATCGAATGTACTTTTAGTTAGGAACTTCCCAAACCATTTCCGTTTCCATGCCGTATAAATTTGCTCTTTTCCATTAAGAAAATCACCAAAAAATGCCGTAGTCATTAAGTAAGGTGGATGAGAGATTGACTTAGAGAGTCTTCTCGATCATCTCGATACCGTACTCCTCCTTCAAAGCCTTGATCAAGGGCCCACAGATCTTCATGTTCATGGGAGCAAGGATACCCTTGTCAAAAGTTAGCATTTTTCAAAGAAGCTTGAAGTTAGGGGTGAGGATGAGTGACATACTTTCTCGCTAAGAGTGCCGTCAAGAACCTGTCTGACAGCAACGGCACAAGGGATACCAACGAGCTTAGCCATGGCCGAGTAACCGTTTGGATCACCATAGTCGCACAAGGTGCTGGTACGAGTCTCCTTGGAACCATCCTTGTTCTCGATCTCGAATCGATGCTGCAACATGACCATATCCCTCTCGCCGGGACCGTACTGCATCTTCTGCTCGAGGGTAGCACAAAGAGTATCAAGAGGGTTGTTGCGGGGCGTGATCTTCTCATCGGAGAAAACACCAATCCATCGCAGCGCAGCCATGATACGGTCCTTCTTCTCGTTGTCAGCGAACTTGGTCTTGGAGGAGATGGCCCACTGCAGATCCTTCTCGTCCGACGAAGTGGCACCGAGAAGCTGCTTCATGGCCTCCTTCCATGGAATAGGCGTTTTCATGAACTCCTTCTCGTCCTCCTTGAGGAAACCTAGATCAACCAGGGTGCGGATCATCTGCGGGAAGCCCTGGAAGCGAAGAGTGCCACGGACGATGGTCTGGGCTTCGGGCATCTGGTAGCGTTCCTTGTAAGGGGTTGAGTCGCGGTTGGCGTAGGCAACGAAGGCGAAACCCGGGTAGATGAAGTATGGCTTTGCGGTGCCCATGAGCTCGGGGCCAGGGATGGAGACGACCTTGCCGTCTTCATAGTACTTTGCGTCATTGCGGAGGGCGAGAAGCATGCCTCTGCTGGACCAGGAGAATTTGTAGCCTAGTGGGTTGTCGGAGCATTCTGGGGCAGGCAGACCACCACAGTAGGACAGGAAGGATGTGACCTTGCCACCGGCTTCATGAACCTACGGCAGGTCAGTTGGATGTTGTTTATGCATGAATACTTTGGGTAGACCTACCTCTGAGATGGTCTTGACGGCATACAAATGATCAATTCCCTAGAAGCAGGTTAATATCGGAATCTATAGGGTAGATGGATGATATGCTAGACTTACGGGATCAAGACCGATCTCGTTCATGACTGTGATGCCGGCCTTCTTAGCATCCTCCTGCAGCTCCATCATGGCTGGCGAGACGTAAGAGGTAGTGACTACATTCTTCTTGGTGCGGATAGCTCCCTTGATGACGGTAGCGTGATGGATGTATGGGATGAGGGAGATGACGAGCTCGACCTTGGCCAGCTCAGCGTCCAGGGCAGCAGAGTCATTGACGTCCAGGGAGATGGCGTTGGTGTTCTTGATGCCTTTGCAGAGCTGCTGAGCGCTCTCGAGGGTACGGCAGGCTGTTCATCTCGTCGTTAGCTGGTGGTCTCGAGTCATGTATACAGTCGTATTTGATAGAGGCACGGCGGGGAGATATCACCCACCAACAGTCAGGAGGACACCGGCCTTGCTCAGCTCGTCAATGGTAGGCTTGGTGACTGTCAACAGAGGTAAGAATATCAGCCAATTCGTCCGTCCAGACGCTCTTCTTGTCGTTGTTATTGAGGCCACTCGACTAACCGAAGCCGCTTCCAAGCCTGTTATCGTGAGTCAGTCAAGCTAGCTACCGATAACGGAGGGGTAGCAGGGAGGAGGCCGCAGGAAGACATACAGAAGCACTTTACGACCTTCAATTGAGGAAGACATGGTATCTACAAGCTGTTTATGATGGAGACAGACGGTGGTGAAGCAGCAGATGCGGTGATGGAGAGTGGAAGAAGTGAAGAATCGACTTTGTGCAGTTTTATGTCTCTTTTCCTACGAGTTAGTCAGCAAACAAGTCGTTTAGTCGGTCAAAAGGCCGTCTTCATCTTTGCCTCTTCTTCTTCTTCTTCTTTTGCTGCTGCTTGTTGTTTGATATGGCTTATTACTCGAGGCGGATGAAGATCTTGCTGCCCAACTGGCTCGGGTCTACTGGTGGCGCGGTGGTTTGGCTGAGGAACCTTGTACGAACTCGTCTATGCGGATTTCATTACTATTATACAGTAAGAGACAGTAGGTAGAGAAGAAGAAGCATAGGTAGAAGGAGAAGGAGAAGAAGGTGTAGGTATAGGCAGAGTAGGCAAAAGGTAGGTAGATGCAGGGGTATACGCAGGCGGTAGCGTCTATAGAGACTTGAATTTGATATCATCGTCCTCCGTCAGCCACGGACTGTCAGCGTTCATCCGCTCTGAATCCGAGTTGTATGCGCTGGGAAAGTCGAACTCGAGCTCTCGTCTTGGGCCGGTCTTCCTGATCCTGCGCTGCCAGTCCCAGATCACCGGCAGGAACTCCCACAGGCTAAAGGCCGGCCACAGCGTGTCCAGAAACACAATCTGGGTGTCCTGGTGGCACTGCCAGAGCATGAAGTCGCTGAGACGCTCGACGCCCGAGGTGCGGATCAGGATGTCCAGCGGTGGACAGCCAGCGGTGAGCATATGGTCGCTGAGCGTCTGCGTGGTGATCGTCTCGGGCGAGTGAAACAGCAGCTGGTCGCTGTTGGGGGGATACGAGGTATACAGCTCGGGCGACGCAGTGGCATGCTGATGATGATGCCGGTGTTGACGTTCATGGTGGTGGTGATGCCGCTGCTTGCCTGTCCCGCTGCTCCCGTTCGTCTCCCCGGAGGCTGCAAGGTGCAGCGTCGTGGCCGAGGAGAGAGACGAGTTGGAGTCCGATGCCGTCTCGTTGGCCGAAGACGTAGTGACGGGACTATTGCTTCCGTTTGACAGCGACTCGCGCGGGTCTGCACTGGGCGTATGCTCACGAATATTCTCGACAATCCGCTTCTCAGAGAACGGTCGACGCGGCGAATTCACTGCCGGAAGCTGGGTCCTGTCCAGCGGGGTGCTGTACTCCATCACCGTGTTGCGGACCGCGGAGGTAATCTCGTCTCTCGAGGTGTAGGGAAAGCAGATGTTGAGTATGGCGTCTCCGTTGCCGCTGGTCAGCTCGACCGTCCTGTCCACGGCTTCCAGCACATCCGGGCGTATCTGGTCTCGTCGGCCCAGCACCCGCACGCTCGCTCCGTACCTCTCCAGCAGCTCGCCGTGCTCCGACAGCTGCAGCAGCTTCAGCTTCGCCATCTCCATCAGCGCATCGACCTCGTACTTGGACCGCTTGAAGTTCTCGATGCTGAAGGCGTATATCGTCACGACTTTGATGCCGGAGCTATAGCACACTTCTAGAATCTGCACCCGTTAGTATCACTCATTACAATTAAAATAATGAGTAAAGAGTAAAAGAATACCTTTGCCAGCGCCTCGAAGCCCAGATTGTGTCCCTCCACCCGCTCGATGCCCTGGTTGCGGGCAAACCGCCGGTTCCCGTCCATCACGAAGGCGACATGCTGTGGAATAGGGCCCTGTCGCAGCGCGCCGATCAACAGCTCTCGCAGGTAGTATATAGCGCCCTCGACGGGAGGAGACGAAGCCAGCCATTTCCGTATCCTCGACAGATGCATAGACGAAGCCATCGCGGAGATATTTCGTAGGGGCGTAAGGGGAGTAAAAGAGCGTAGGCAAGCTGGCCGGAAGTCCCGGGTGGTTTTTTTCCTCTGCGTTGCTGCCACCAGCGCAGCGATAATTAGGTAAAAGACGAAAGCCAAACGATGGACGAAAGAGAATATTCAACTATGCAAAGTATTAAAATAGACGTAGGATAAATAGAATGCTTTTTTGCTTTATAAAAAAAGAAGACGAGAGAGTGACGTAGATGCGAGAGTCAGACTTCGTGGCTTTGCCGCTTTTTTGCCTTTTAGCCTGTTTTTGTTTGTTTTCTTGTCTCGGAAGACTCGAGGAGCCCCTGACCTTGTACGTATATACAGCAGAATAGAAGACAGAAGGACAGTAGAAGACAGAATAGAAGAAGAGTAAATAGGTATTGATAGATACAGAACGCCTGCTGGACCCTGAACAACGTCGTAAGATCATCCAAACACTGAAAGACCACCCCTTTTTGCTGTGAGTCTGCTCATATAGACAGCTGGAGCTGGTTATAAGAGATAGATAGAGAGAGAGAGAGAGAGAGAGAGAGAGAGAGACTAGACGTCCTTGCGGTTTTCTGCTGTCTGGGACTCAGAGTCTGAGGACTCCCACATGTTCGAGTCCTCGCTCTTGCGGCGGCGCTGACGGCCTCGCTCCCGCATGGCACCCCGGATCCGCTTGCTCACCTCTTCGAAGCTCTCCTTCGAGTCCAGCGTGCTAAACTCCTTGAGCGGGAAGCCAGAGGAGCCTATCAGGCCGCCGTTGGAGCTGCTGCGACTTCGGCTGCGACTGGACGGGCGAGTAGAGAAGAAGCCGAAGCTCGCGAGGTCGTGGAAAGATTCGTTGCGAGGCAGCTGGTCCTGCATGGAGGATTCGGTGTGGGAGCGGTGGATGATGCGCGGACGGCCGTAGTCGCCCAGTGGTTCGTCTATTTCGTTTTCTTCGAGAGACTCCAGAGAAGAATACGGCAGGTTCTCGCGGAAAATGGTGTCCTTGAAGGGGTTGGAGACCACACGCGAGGAGTCGAAGTCAGGGAACATCTCGGGGCCCAGGGTGTTGATAAGGTCCGTTACTTGGATGGAGAGCTCGGCTCGGCGTTCCCGAAGCCTGACGAGGGTGTTTGCTGAGCTGGGGTTGAGAGATAGAACCAGCGGACGGAGTGATTTGAGGATGTCCATGCCTATTTCTCCGATGCGGAGAGCGGCGAAGGTGATGGATGGGAATATCCAGAAGCTGAAGGGAATGATGGTCCAGAGGGCACCCAGTCAGGTACATAGCCCCAGACCCGGTGGCTGTAGGTCCAGTAGGTGAGCAGGACGGTGTAGAAGGTATAGAGCAGCGGTGCAAAGGCGAGGGCCACGAGCAGCTTCCAGGTAGCCATTACGTCGCGGCCCTGGATCTTGACGCTGGACGCTGCCAGTGCCTCTCGGGACTTTCTGATAGAGATGATCTTGGTGGCCACGAAGACGGGCAGGAAGAGGACGAAGCCGGGCAGAGTGCCGATGGCCATGACTGCCAGCTTGCCCAGGCGGTAGATGAGGGTGGCCACCACTTTGAAGAAGGAGAATTTGGCATACTGGACCTGGTGGTCTCGGATGCCCAGGATGCGGAGCTGCTTGTTGTAGTCCAACACAGACTTTTTCAGGCTGATAATCCGGGGGTCGTCTTTGTAGTGAGCGTATCCCTTGGCCAGACGACGGTTGAGCTCGACAACCATCGGCAGCGGGAGTTTCTTCCCTGTAGGATTGTACAGCCTTCTTGCAGCTTGGATGACCTGGATATCTGTTTAGTTTAGGTACACAGTTGTAATAAAATTGGTTCAACATACCATAAGAGATTCGTAGTCAGGAGATGTGACGGTAACGGTGACCAGGGCCTGGTATATCGTGTCCAACAGGGTGCCTACAGACTCTCGCTTCTGGCCCTCCTTGTACATCTTGACCAGCTCCGGAGGCACCTTGACCGGGTTGCCAAATTCAATGACCGCCCGAGACCGGAACTTGTGGGCATGGAAATAGTTCATTCCACAGGGTATAATGGTCACATCGCAATCAGGGTTGGCAGCCACAGCTCCAAGCGCCATCAGCGCAACGCCAGCTACAAACATTAGCATTATATCAAACATCAATAGGCTGACAGTGCATACCTTTCAACGGCAACAGATCCGGACGATCATGACTTCCGCCCTCCGGGAAGATACCAATACAGCCTCCCTGGTTCAGCGTATCAAAGACAGCATTATACACCTGTGTCTGGTCAACATGCGGCGCAACCTTGAACCTCGAGCCCTGAAACTCAGCTGGGCTCTTAACATTCGCACCCCCGGTAAAGTTGCCGCTTTCATCCACGTCGTCTCGCCCCGTCAACTGCTGCAGGGCCTGCTGTGTCTTGAACGGCTTCTTCAATATGATTTCCTCGGGTCCCTGGATCTCGCTGATATCCGTACTGCTCGACTGTCCATTAACCGAGGGCAACGAGATAGTCCCGCCAACTTCAAACGCCGAAGAAGTAAAGTCTGTCCCGCGGCCGCGTAGCAAGGTCGGGTTGTTGATGGGGTCTGGTAGATAAATAGTTCCCTTGCCCGGCTTCAAGTTGTCCATTGCTCGTGTAACGGGGACCGAGCCCGTAAATCGAGCGAGCAAGCCTACAAAACGGCGTTTGAATGATTTCTGGGCAATCAGGAAGGCGATTCGACGGTGAAGTTCCATGCGCATTACCCGCATCAGGATGAGGGAGTCCACGAACTGTGCAGACATTATTAGTACCAACCCACGCAATACAGCATAACAGCACAACGCAACAACACAACGTAGTAGAACAAGGTAGAGACGTACTTGATTGGCATGGGGAGCAGCGACGAGAATCACCGGCCCTCGCTTGGGGACTTTCCATGAGCCGCGGGGATGCACTTCGCGGAAGAACAGGTCGACCAGCAGCGAGAGGAACCACAGGATCAGGTCATACATCCAAGTGACCATCGGCCGGTACTCCTTGTCCCCGGAAGCCATCTTGGACCGGTTGATCGAATGCAATTAGGCGTATCCAGGCTGGTTATGGGTTGTTCGAGCAGACAGCGGCTGTCCCTTGGGGTGACCGGCCCGCAACCATGAGCAGCTGGCAGGTCGCTGCAACGTACGCAACTAAGCTGTATCGACGCACAACGCAAGGCCGTCTCTTCGTCCGTCTCGTCTTATCCGATGAGGTTGGTGGCAGGCGGTGGTGTCTGGCTGTGCTGGCGGCGGGGGGGAAACTGCATATCTTGCCCGGGTGTTTATCTGCAGGGCTTTTTAGCAGGTTGTTAAATATAAACACCGTCCCGCCCGGATGTTCTTTTTCCTTCTTCTCTGTTCGCTGGCCTGAGACACGGAGGAGGCCAATAGCTGTGTGAATCCTGGGATTAGCAGCAGGGAAGCTGGCAGGACGGGGATTTAATTAAGAGCGCTGCGACGAGCGGCCAGGCTTCGAGCATTTTTATATATTGGATGTTTGTTTGTTTGCTGCTGCGGTCAAAATGGGGGTTAGCCGAAGGAGGCGAAAAACAGGATACGAAGCGAGAAAAAGGGCCAGCAGCTCCTCCGTGCATGCATGAATCTGGCTCGAGCGATGGGTTTCTTGCATGGCGCATTGAGATTTTCATGTCTGAACATGGGATGTGCTGATTGATTGAGCAGAGGTCTCGGATGGGGATGCACAGTGATGCAACTTCTACCACCTTGCGAGATGGACGGACAGGAAGTAGAAAAAGAATATATTGAAGCCGAGATACATAGACCAGCTAGTAGATATCCGCTCTGTCCCAACTCCATCGCTGAATGTGTTAATATGAAAGCGCTAGCTAGTAGATGTTGTAGATGCCATAGCCGGCCCTAAAGCAACCCCAAGTTCTAGTCCCCCCTAAAGACCCTCTAACCAACAGCTAATGATACTCCTCCTCACCATGAGCAGTAGAAGTCACCTTCCCTCCTCTCCTGCGTCCCACGATCCTGCTGAGGTCCGCCTGGCTTACTCTCCGCTGCATATCCAGCAAGAGCTTCTCCTGGTCCTTCCAGCGCTGCTCCCAGATATCCTCGACCTCGTTCCGGGCCCGCTCTATCTTCGCCTCCGTCTGAAACTCCAGCAAGTTGATCGTATGTCGGAGCTCGTCGATGATGAAGTCGCGCGACCTCAGCTCCTTGCGGTAGACCTGGTCGACTTCATTCAGGCGTTCGCGCAGCTCGGCTAGCTCACGACACTTCTGATGCAGCACACGCCGGTGTTCACGATCAATGCTGCGGATCATGCGGGAGAAGTGGATGCTGATTTCGTTCTCGGTGTCCATGGCTGGCGGCTCGTCTGTGTCCGCATAGCCTTCTTCGACGGTGGGAGGGCCCTGGGGGACGGCCAGCATGGGGCTGCGGGTTGCTCGGGGTGTGGTGGGAGGTGAGCGGCCGCGGGAGACGGTGGAATGGGACTGCCAGTGGTCGGCCGTACTAGTAGTGTTGCTGTTAATATTGCTGTTGTAGGTCGGAGAAGGGTGGAAGATGTCGCTGGATCTTCCTATGCTGGGGCCAGCAGAATGGGTCATGCGAGGGCTGGATGCAGGGGCTGGGTTGATGGAGAAGGCGTTGCGTAGAGACTCAAAGGACATGCCTGTGTCCAGCTGGGGGAGACGGATTCCATTCCGGCGTCGTAGGAAGTTGTGGTTGTGTCTGTGGATGTTATGGTTGGTGTTGTTGGCATTGGTGTGATGGGCGTTTGGACGGAGGTTGGCTTGGATATTGCTTTCTGATACCGAGCGTCGTTTCGCTACCACGGTGATCTTCTCAGGCCCCGGGACGAACGAGTGAGCTCGAGAAACAAGTCCTGAACTCGATCCCGATGCTGACCCTCTCCTCTCACGCTCGACTGGCGTACCCGGCAGCTCGGCCGTAAGTAGATCGTTGTCCTGTGGTGCGGGAGCGTCAGTGCCAGCACCAGCATGCTCTTCAGACCTATCCTGTGTCAGGCTGACGGATGGAACACGCTGCCTCATCAAAGGGTGGTAGTCACGCTCGTTGAGCGGCCATGCTATGGTTTGGTAGTCCGGGATATTAGGGGCCGGCAGCTCGTTGTTGCTCCCTGTAGCCAGGTTCGTGTCCAGGCTGGAGTACTCCGGGGGCGCAGCAGTGTATGGCGGCAGGCCTGGATGCTCCGTTATCCTGGAGCCGTCCCGGTTGATCCTGAAGATGCGGCCTCCCACGACGAGCTCCATGCTGCGAATGCTCCTTGTGTCTTCCTGTAGGGTGGTGATGGTCACTCCCGTCCTGGTCGAGACGACGCTGGACGACCTGCTGCGGACAGATACCCCACCGCCGCCCGCCTGTGACTGAGCAAGGCTCTGCTGGTACGGTTGGTCCTGCGGCTCCATGGCCATTCACTCAGGGTATCAATAGGGGCTTCTTCCTGGTAGCAGGCAGTAAACGAAAGACAATGGTCAAATGCAGCAGTTAGCCCAGCGGTACTGCCCTCCAGGAGCTCAGCAGTGGCAGCTCGCCTGACTCTCGTAACTAATGCGTTGGTGAAACGGATTAACAGCAACGAACAGCTCACCCGTCCTGTCCGTAGCTGACGATGGGACAAGGAGGGCCGTTTCGAAGGTTGGTTGGTTAGCTGGTTGGTTGTTTTAATTTGATATCTCAGCTCTCGCCCGCAACGCTCTTAAGTAACTGCGGGATGGCCCGACAACGGCTCCACGGTCCATGTCAAGGCAACCAAGATAAAAAAAAGTGGCCATCACTTTGTTTTTTTCAGCCTCCTCGCCGCAATACGAAGGGCTCGCGGGGACTGTCGATGCTCCAGCAGAAGTGGCTGTTTCTCGCTCCCCTGAATGGCGGGCATCAACAACCCTACCCCTTGGCAAGATTGGGCGTTGTGAGCCGTATCCGTATGACATCAGAATGCATCTGGAAGGCTGTAACAGCACGCCGGTTGGCAGCTTGTGTCCCTGTCAAATGAAACACGGCTTGGGTCTGCAGCAAAAAAAGCGCTGCCTGATGTACCTTGCAAATGAGAAAACACCTGTTCTCCGTAGTTAGATGTGACATGATGCGATTTGAGCATGGAAAATGAGTATCCTGCCAGCGAAAGACACAGCTGAATACACGGAGGGCCTTTGAGACAGTGTGTCTGATGATCCAGTGAATGTGCTGTCCTTGACTGCCTGTTTTTTGTCTGCCTCGATGGTTTCCAGATAGTTAAACTGATAGCCAGGTGCCTAGATGAATAGTTACTAGGAGAAACCGTGTACCTCCAAGGAAGAATTCTCCATTTTCCTTGTTCTTGCCTGAGTCGGATTCCTCCGCACCCTTATTGCGGCTTGCGGCCTGATAGGTGCCAGTTAGCTGGTTCCTTAATGTAAGGGGTGATATTGTATGCATGTATTATCTTCGCCACGCTATCGATCATCAGTCAGTCGTTGACAGGTCGGTCCTTAGGGTGATACTCTTGCTGCCTGGCAGACCCTCACGGGCACTGCTGCATGCCCCTAGCCACCATCCTGTCTTGTTCGGGCGAATGCCACACCCGGATTATCTTGATTGCATGCAATATCATTACTCGCCTAGTTAGCCGGCCATGCATGCGCCCAATTGTTTCCGAAGATGCTCATGCAGTGATGCATCCTTGCCATCTTTGCTTGCAGAGAGCACCAACCCAATAACCCTGCAAGATACAGGCCAAGCCAAGTCCTTGGTTGCATAATTGATTAATCGGAATCATTAGCAATCCTTTAGATGCAGGAAACATGGCCCCTTATGGCCGTATAAACCTAGTAAACGGCCGCAAGCGGAACAATCAGACGAAGAGAAAAGAAGAAGCTGTGGCTATACTCTGCTAATCAACACGGTCAGCAGTGTTTGTTTCTTCTGCTCGAACACTTGCTGAAACGGAGATGGATAGATTAAGCAATTAGTCTTGCCCGGTGTGTGGTAGCATGCCTGAAAGCCTGTGAGCGGCGCCTTGGAGCCGTCGATCAATTAACCAGCTGGCACTGTTTCTCTCTGATCCTGGTCTTCAGTGATCCCAGTGAGTAACCATCTAGGCGGAAAAGTGACCCTCCTCCATGCATACGGTGCGGACGAGGCGACCAGCAGGGCAGCATAGCGGGATCCAGGAAAAAGGTTCCTAAGCCTATTCAAGCCATATTGACACCTGCACGCAGTGGAAATCGTTCTCTCCCCCTTACCGAAGCCCAGAGATCGCGAACACTGCAGCTCGTAACTTTCCAGGTACTGCGGCCTCTCTGTCCAAACTGCCCAAACCCAAATAATACCGACGGGGATAACTCGTTCCACGGGACAAGCGTTGGCAACGTTGACGCACCACCAAGTCTTCCCATGGCGGGATGCTGGAAACTACTTACCCAAGGAACATCGTCTGCCGTGATGGTGCTCTAGAGATAAAAGGGACCAGTATCTCCCCTTCAGCAGCAGGGACAGTAAAAAAAAAAAAAAAAAAAAACAGAATTTTGAACACAGCAAAGAAGTTTTACCAACCATCCACCGTCGTCCATCGAGTCTACCATATAATTCAGCAACTTCTTCTGCTACGTCTCCTTGTAGCATGCCTCATCAATCCAACACTGCACAGACCTCAAACTCCAAACCACACAACAGGTAATCTTCACTTCTTCCTTGGTTATCTGGCGGACAGTTCACTGACATTTGACCTCCCATAGCTCTTTTATCCCATCCTCGTCTTCGGGCGGCCGTAATTCCGCAGGCGGCAGTCAGCTGCAGAAGTATATTAATAGTTCTGCATGCTCTGATCCCTGGTCAGCCTATCGGGAGGGTACCAGCAACGCCACGGAAATCAACAAGCTGATGGACGACCTGAAGCAGCAATTTGGCAAATAATCGGCAGGGCATTAAACGAGCCCGGGAGAGTGGTATCAAATTCGTATGGGTGCCTGGGTGTACAGCATACCCATGTTTCGATGTATTATTAGGGTGTATTTCCAAGCAATCCATGCACGTCATTCCTTAGTTGATTTTCTGGTATCAATAGTCCCTTGGTCATAAGCTTGTTAAGCAGCGTAAAACGTAGAAGAGCGTAGTTGATGCTGGCAGGTCGAGAAGTTGGTCGTCATAACTAGTCAGGGCAGGAGACAACACGATACAAGCCCGGATAGGGGAAGAGTTCGTCTTACGTAATGAGACTGACCAATAAAAGTGCGTCGGAACAAACGGCACCTACCATATTAGGCTTAGTAGCCACGTGTAATCTACCTTGACTTGATATGAAGAAAGTGAAATTGTTTGATGCCAAAAAAACAAGCAGGAAGCACTCACGAAAAAAATAGGGAGATCCCTCTCTCCCACTCTGCCCACCCTGCTGAGAATGGTGACCAAAAAATGCCAGATACTCAGATATCCATAAGCAGACACTTACTCGTTATTCTCTCGACTTGAACAATTCAAGAGTCGCAACTCGCTGTGTTTGACCCCTTGGACAGGCTACCCACAGTCTCCCTTCCTTACCTTTCCTTATAGTATATAGGACAGCCCAGCAGTGTCCCGAACTCCTCGGCCGTGGCCTTACCCATTATATCGGATGCCTTTGTTTCAAGGTTGGAAAAATAAATAGGGATAAAAATATAATCTTTATTCATGTAGTTATTTAGAGAAACAAAAACAAACACCGAAAAAACATGCAAAACTCCAGGGTGGGGTCCCACCCTCCCACCCTCCCGCCCGGAAATCATCAGTTTTTTAATTATTGTTGTTGTTATTTTGTTTTTTTTTTTTTAACTTGAACAAAGCCTCTTTCGTCTGTCACCAGACGATACGGGCAGTAACTATAATAATCAGGTTAGTATATCCTTTCGATATATATAAGATACCTATTTTACTTACTGTCCGATATAAAGAAACGCCTTTTCTAAATATATAAAAATGGTAAGAATGAAGTGAAGGCATTGGGCCCAGATGGGGGGTTGGAGGGGCATTTTGGTTGCGTTGCCGTTGTTATTATTATCTTGATATTGTCTGACTCGAATATTGCCTTGTTCATCAGTAACCAGGCGGTATGAGTATTTCCTATAGTAATCTGATTAGTATATCCTTTAGATATATATAAGATACCTATTTTACTTACCTCCTTAGATAAATAAAAGCTTTTTCTAAAAATATAAATATTGTCAGAATAAAATGAGCCCATTGGGCCCACTCGGGGAATTGAGGGGGCCTGGCCATCTTGGTGTTGTTGCTGTTATTGTTATTATTATTATGTCAAAAACTTCAGCTCTACCCACTATGAGTGTAGACTTACTCCTTTTCAGTGTAGTGGCAGACTTTGACATATCGTTATCGTGGTAGTGGTGATAGTGGTGATGGCGTTGATGCTGGTGTTAATGTCGGAATATGAACTGCAGGGCCAAAAAGGCCTATCTGCCCTATGTTCTCGAGGGAACATGGATCAAGACAGCGAGTTGTAGCAGTGGATAGATAGTTGTCCTAGCAGTTGGTGGTGTTGATTGTTGATAGTATTGATGTTGTTGTTGTTGTTGTTGTCTTTAGGATAGTCAGATATGCTACCCAGGCTGTCTTTTATAGGAAGCTGCTCTTTACCTTAACAGTAGGAGCCGCCCGCGTTGCATGGCCTATGACTAAGCATAAGCCTAGGCGTTATATCGGGGTCTCTATCCAAAGCGTTATTATTCACATTATTCAATTCAACTCGAACAGACGGCCAGCTGCTGCACTTAACAACTTAACAAGACTCCTTTTGATGGCTTCATTTCCATAACAAGATCGACACATCTCGAATCGGTCTCGCAGATCCTCCGTCGTCTCCCCTTGACCTTCAAACGCTTGATCCTCGACTGCAACGGCTCCCACCAACGAACCCCGCCGGCGCCAGTACGTCATGACCATGTCCTGAGCCCGTGATCCCCCATGTATCCATATTTCTTTTAGACAAGTACAAGCTCTCCCTCGCCCGGCTGCAGGGGGTCGACCTCTTCCTCTCGCTTTGCCTTTTCTTTTCCCTTCGCATGGCGCGCCTGTTGTGAATATTCTAACATACATACATAGTTGCCCACAGGCAGACCGGTTTTAACGCTCTTTTTTGACTTTTCGAGTTGCGCCTTCGAGACGGCTCGGACAAGGGCCCTGGGGTGCGGGCTACGGTTACAGCGTACAGCGTCTAGACGACTAGTGGCTGCAAAGAGGCACAGAGCACTCGACAGTCGCAGGGCCAGGTTGCGTCTGGCCCGTCGAGCTCGCCATGTCTATAAAGTAGGTCCCAATCTTCTTCCCTCTTGGATGGCTGTCTAGATGAATACCCTATCTGCGGCCTCACGATGGGCAAGTCGGTGCTAAAGGCCTGGATGCTTAGTTGGGCCATGGTCCATGAGACCAAGGGGCTGGTCCTGCTGCCGAACGAACGCATCATATACACCTCCCCACTGCGCACAAGCATAGCTCTCAAGTCCATTCAGCCAGGCCCCGACAAGCAGTCCTTCGCCAGGCAGGCCAGCACCGGCCATGTCCACCTCACCAACCAGAGAGTATGTCTCTTGTCCTCGTTACCTCGACTTATACACAGATATCTTACGTTTATAGATCGTCTACCTCCCCTCGCAACCTACACAAGAGTTTCAGTCCTTCTCCGCGCCCCTGCTGAACCTCATAGACACCCACGTTGCCGCACCCTTCTTCGGCCCCAATGTATGGAATGCAGTCGTCCAGCCGGTCTCGGGCGGTGGGATTCCGGCTTCCTTTGCAGCCATACAGCTTAAACTCACCTTCAAGGATGGAGGGGCATTTGACTTCCACTCGAACTACGAGCAGATCAAGGAGCGTCTGCAACAAGCCGTCGAGCGGGCCAGGGAGAGCGGGCTGATGTCCGGGGACGGGGCGCAGGTAGGAGGCTCCGGACGAGACGGCGGTGCGTTTGGCGTCGTCGACTTTGCGAATGTGCATCTCGAGGACTTGCCGGCGTACGAGAGCAATTCTACCACCGGTAATAATCATGATATATCAGGAACACTCCCCCCACAAACAATAACTACCACAAACACAACCACAAAGACTGCAACGGCCACATCAGCTGCAAACGAGGATAGCAGGTCCGGCCGGCCGTCGTTCGAGACGCCTACTGATCCGCCGCCGGGGTATGAGGAGGTGCAGCAGCAGAGCGTCGCCAACGAGCTGGAGAACCAACTCCGCCGCCGCCGCCAGTAGCGTCTACCCTTAGCATCACCATCTTCGTAGTTAGCATTCTTCTCTTCTCTTTCTCCTCTTCTCTTATTATTCTCTTCGTGTCTTTATAAAGTGCTTCTTTTCTTCTATTTCTTCTATATCTTTTTTTCTCAATCACGTGCCTCAACAAACCAGCCAATCACAGCCCTTCTAAACCAACCTTCGTCCTTTTTTCGCTCCAAAACATCGACGAAAAAGACGACGAAGAGACCAACAACGTCGACAAAAGGCCACTCAAGCCCTGCCGCAGCCACATTAGCTCCCGAGATACACATCTCATCTCTTCGGAGCGGACAGATCAACCCCGTCCCAGCATCTCCCTGCACCGCTGCATATCGCTCTTCCCACCGCTACAATGGGTATCGCCGACATGTTCGTTGAGTTCGTGAGCTCGCTGAGCTTCGGAGAAGTCGTTGAGGCCGAAGCCCCCCCGGCCGAGGAGGTCGAGGACTCGTCTTCTGCCGGTGAAGATACGCCTGACGAGGACAAGTCGGAGGATGCCGAGGAAGAGGCCGAGGAGGAGGAGGAAGAGGAGGAAGAGGAGCCAGAGGATATCATGCCCAAGTTGGTAGAGGGTGAGTGTGGCCCGTCCCTGTTTGTTCCTGGGGTATTTCGCTTTCTGGAGGGCGGAAGGTGGTCGTATCAAGCGGTTGCTATGGCCAATTGATGGATTGGTGTGGTCAATTGGACAATTGGCACCGTATATTATATATGCCTTTGCCGAAGTCGATATCGATTGCGTTCAGCAGCAAGTAACTAACCAATTGCTTTGATAGAATGCTCAAACTCCAAGGCCTGCGCACCTGCTAAGCACCATTTCGACGACTGCGTTGAGCGTGTCACTCGCAACTCCGAAGATCCCGAGTTCAAGGGCCCCCACGAGGACTGCGTTGAAGAATGTAAGTCATCGCAAACTGCCAAAATGTCGATGTCAATGGCATGTTCTAACCACTTTCTAGTCTTCCACCTCCAGCACTGCGCTACCCAGTGCGCTGCTCCCAAGCTCTGGCGCGAATTGAAATAGATCTGATGTCCTTTCGTCTCTCTTACACCCCCCCTCCATCGCCCCGGTTTCGTCCGTGTCATTAGAACAAACAACCTGTACTATACATAAAACTCCAAATCACAGTTCTGGACCCTCTGCTTGTTTCTTTGCGGAATCGTTAGACAGAAAGGATGGACTAGTGTGGAATGAGGGATGTGGGAGAGATTAGATGGGCTTGTATCTGCCTGCATATATGTTTCGACCGATTGTACCTTGTACGGCTAGTTTATTCCTTATTTTTGGTATTAGATGTTGTCTACGGATGAAAATGATAGAATATCACTCTACATCATGCAGCGGGTATTTAATACTGAACTAAATCCAAACTAAAGCAAAACAACCAAGCAAAGAAGGGTATATACACCATCAGGCAAATTATGTACTCACACCCTCCGGATGATGGCCTCCTCTAGACTGCCAACACGCTGACACTCGGCTTCAAGCCTGCGCTTACGCACGTCTATCCCAAACAAGCCAACGCATAATGGCAGCGGCACCACGGCTGTAGCCATAACTGCCTGAAAGATAAGAGCCCGCATCATATGGAGGGGCGGATCTTCTTCGGGTCCAGCCTTGAGTGCATTCTCGATTAAAATAAACGCCGCCCCGAAGATCTGGCCGCCAGTCCAGCATAGCGTGCTCGGGATTTCGGGGGACATGGGATATGTGATTTCAACCATATATTCGAGAGCCACTGGGAGAATGCAGAAACTAGTTGCGCCCATAATAGAGGCGAGGACATACGGACCTGCGACATTGCCTGAGCTAGGCGCGAAGATGAAGGCGATGTAGGTTGCTGCGAGGATTGGGATGAGAATTTTCATGGTGCCCAGGTAGTGTTTTAGGCGGTCAATGATGGGGGACATGATGGCGGCGGAGACAAGGCCGACCACGATCAGAAGGGCACCTGTTATGCCTGCTACTGTCTCGGAGTAGCCATGTGGATAGAGGATTTGATTGAGCAACGAGGAGATACTGTTGAAGAGACCGACATAGATGCCAAAGGGGAAGAAGATGAGCCAGAATTCGATGCGGGTAGCCAGCTGGCGAAGACTCGATAGGAGTGGTGGCTTTACTGTCTCTGAAGCCACGCTGGGGGGTGTAGGGGGTCGGCTGGGGACAAAGAATGATGGTACGCATGCGACTGAGGACTATTCAGTGGTAGATAAGTTGGTTAGTTGGCTATAGATTCCTGATATATCGTACGATGTTTTTATAGCCCAGGGGTGGGGGGGTATATAACATCCCTCCGATGTGCTCCGTCGGATAGAGATATAAGGGGGCTTACAATAATCGAGACATAAAGCACAAGATTGGGAATCTGCGCTGAATCCGTGGCCAGTATAGGCCCGATAAGCTGTCCCAACGCACCACCCAGCGGGTTTGCCAGGCTGGCAACTGCTGTTGCGCTTGTCCGGCCCTGGCCAGTGAACCAGATGTCACTGTATCTCGTCGGGGCAGTCAGGACAAACGGCTGGGAAAACCCGATGAGAATCTGGCCGAGCATGGCGACTCCGAAGTTGCCGCTGCCCGCGCGGGTGCCTGCGTATCTAATCCAGTTGCCCGCCAGGAGCAAGGCAGACGCGGTAATGATGGAGGACCTGGGGCCGCCCCTGTTGAGTGTCCATATAACTATCCTGTATGGCCCCCCGAGGTTAGCACATTGTTCGATAGCCAGACATACCGAGAACATGATACGACTAGCCGGAGAACCACATCACTTACGGGCTGGCAACGCAGAATGCAAAGAGAAAGGCAGTACTCATCCAGTTGATGGCCCCCTCGCTGACCCGGAAATACTCTGAGGCCGTCTTCGATACGGCTGAGAAGGTGAGCCACTGCGAGAAGTCAGCAATGTCGGCACAAATCTGGGGTAACTAAAGATAAGGCAGATATAGAATCACTTACATCCCAACTGACGATGATATTGAGCAGGACCAGCTGTCCCAGGCCGAAGAAGCGTCTCTTATAGACCTTGAACGTCGCAGGCTCTGGCCTCGCCGTCGTCCTGGTGTCCAGCGTCTCAACCTCAATAATATCATCCTTTACCGTAGATGGAGGCGAGCCCCCCTGGATATAGTCCGTAGAGTCCATGGTCATGGCCGGCATCAGGACAGACAGACAGACAGACAAGACGTCATGGGCGGCCTCTAATATATCTCAGTTAGATTCTCATCCAGAGCCCGTCCAGGAGATGTCTGTCTATTCCCCTAAAGCTGCTCCAGCAGTTCCAGAAGTTGCTCTGGCGTCTCTCCATCTCCCTCCCACTAACTGGCTGGCATCCGGGCCGACACATGTGACGGCGCAGGGCCTAAGGAAAGCCCTGCTGCAGGATCGCAAACGCTGCCCGCCGTTTGTTTCGACTTGCATCCGGGGAAACGGAGCTGGTGGGCTCTTCCAAATCTTCCCTGCAGGGCCCCATCCCACTATATCTGAGTGATACGGAGTACCCAGCTCTCGTTTATACGTCGTCGTTGGGCGTCGTAGATCGTAACTGTAGATTGTAGCTATCGACATCGATGTAGGTATGCTGCTAGGGGTGTCTTCCCCCCCAAGCCACGCGGGCCGGCAACCGGCGTGCTTCCCCTGCTCCGGCTCGCTTGGGAGCATCGATAAGGCTCCTATCAGGCGGATAGACAGCGCTGGATGAGCAATCGATTTGGTGGCGCATCTTGTTGAGCCAGCCGATTCGTGGTATTCGGAGGTAATGGGTGCTTTGTTTTTCTGCGGTCTGCCCTGCCCGATCTTTTTCCTTCTCATCGTTCTTTTTTCAGACATGTCTGATCGGTGATATCGATTCCTGATTTCCTCTCGATAATTAAATACGTCTTTGCCGGCTGTCTTGCTGCTGCTGTTGTTGCTGTCGTTGTCGTTGTCGTTGTCGTTGCTCGCTGTGAAGATGTTGAGCCGCCCCCTTTGCTAGCCAGCGAGACCATTAAAAAGCCCAGCTCAGCCTCTCTCGATTGCGCAGGATCTGTTTCATACGACAGATCCAGCTCTGCGATCATGAATACGACGAGCATCCGGTCCAGCGAGTATTCTTATAGAGACCCGCGGTACTACTCTTCGTCCTCCCTTGGGAATGCGCCTCTCCCCAAGACGCTGGATGGCTACGGCGGCATGATGCACCCTGACGACGGCGAGGGCTCGAGGTACAACCCTGTATGTCCATCTCTATAATCTCTTCAGCTATTGCCCGTTCAATATCACGGTCAAATGATGGTCAATATGGCCAATGTCAATTCAATGGCGAGCTGACGTGTGTGTGTAGCAGCTTTCTCGCGGCTCCGTCCTGCTCAACCCCAACGACCCGGTGTCGATGCACCTGCTCGCAGAGACCGCCATCGGAGACAGCCTGCACTTCGAAGTGCTCTCGTTCGAAGAGGTCGAGGAGCTGAAACGAGAGCTCGCACTGGTCCAGTCGCGCGTCGACGGCGGGAAACGAAAACTAGCGCTGGAGCTGAAACTGCAGGAGGCTGCTCAGTCCCTCAACAGGCTCTACGATGACGGCTCGAACGGGGTGAACGGCCATCTCGGCCAGGATGCACACGGACATGGCCATGGAAACCTGGATACCTCGGACGAAGGACTGGCTATCACGCGGCGGAAGTGCGAGGAGCAGGCGCAGGAGATAGCGAAGCTGGAGCGCAGGGCCAGTGATATCCGGACGAGGATACTCGAACACACGGCCGGAGTGCTGCAGATGACACACAAGGGACTGAAGAAGAAAAAGGGATCAAAGACAGACGACCTCTCGTCGACATCCGACGATTTGAACGGCTTGGATCCGTACGGCTGTGGACATGAGTTTGACCATAGGAGCCTCTACCGGACAGCCGATTACCTGGACCACCATGGCGGTGCACCGCCCAGAGACGTCCCTAGCCTGGAACCGGATGTTGAGTCTCTCAGTGGGCTGCAGGATACGCAGTCGAAGCTCGAGGAGATGACCTACAGGCTGCATGAAATGCTCACGCAGATGAACGCCGACCAGGAGATTGACCCTATCCCCCAGATAATTACCAACGAAGGATCTTCCGACCCCCTGGCCACCGTCAACATACAGATAGACTATCTAGAAAAGGGCCTGGAGACGATTGCGCTGCATCAAAGCCATTCATCTCGCGGTCAGGATACCCATACATCTGAAGACTCTCCTTCCAACCATGATACGATTGACCGGCTGGATGCCTTCAGTCGACGGCTCGACGAGGCCCTGGCAGCAGCTGGGTCCAGCAGACAACCTACCAGCCCACACATGTCTACAATCAGAAAATCTATGGCTGAACAGCTGGACTACCTTGACTCTGCTGTTACAGATGTTGAGAAGCGGATTGACAGCTTAGTCGAGCAAAAGACCATCCTCGGCATCCAGATACAACAGCAGCGAGACCTCAACTCCAAATCTGATGCTGAGCGTGATGCATACATTGCAGACCTTACGGAGGATCTGACCAAGCTACGCAAGGAGCTGGACAAGTCTCAGGCCGAGGAAGAAAGCTCCAAGGCTGAGATAGCCATGCTCATAGACCAGCTGGATGCTGCCCGACAGGACTCCATGCTTCGTGAACAGAAACGTAGCATCGGGGAAGCACCTGAGGCATCTCCCGAGAAGGAAGCCCTTATGAAAGCTGAACAGGAGCTGGCAGAGAAAGAAACTCAAATCTCCAACCTGGAGTCCACCATCCAAGAGCTACGTTCCCAGTCAGATGCTCATTTCCACCACACTCGTGAGCAAATCCAGCATGATCTAGCTGACAAGGATTCTCTCATCAGCAACCTAGAGTCTACTCTCCAAGAATTACGCTCCCAGGTGGACAGCCAGTTCAGCCAGATCAAAGAAGCCCACCAGTCCCGCGAAGAGACCGAGCAAGCCCACGCCAAACTCCAGACAGAATTCTCTGAGCTCGAGAGTGATATGGTTCGCATCCAGACTGAACTCACCTTCGCCAAAGCAGAGCTTGACAGTGCCTACGGAAGCAGATCTGAACGCGCTGCCGAAGCAGCCGCCAACCCGGCCGTGCAGCGTGAAATAGATAGCCTGCGAGAACGAAACATGGACCTAACCAGCCAGATAGCAACGCTGAAATCAGTCCAGATGAATAATGCCAATTCAGCGAGCATGGGTGCTCATGAACGTATCCAGGTTCTTGAACGGGAGCTGCGGGAGACCATCGAAGACTACGAGGAGTTGACCAAGCAGAGCATCGAGTTTGAAAAGGAGCGTGACAAGCTCGAGAACATGATTGATACTTACAGAGACAGATGTGATACTCTTGAGACCCAGCTTGGTGACGAACGTATCCAGAACCTGGGCATAAGGGACGGCATGACGATTGAAAACACGTCCATCACCGTGCTGAAGAGCGAGTTTAAGAAGATGATGAGAGAGACCAGAGCAGATAGCATCAAGGCTCTACGGGTAAGTTGGCTTTGTTATCCTTCCCCTTTTCATATATATACTGACAACATCCAGGCCGAACAAGAAGAACGACGACGACTTGAATCCATGCTTAGAGCCATGAAGAGAGAGCAGAGCTTGAAGAAGTCGAATCTCAGCCAGAGCACCCTGGCCTCGTGAGAGTCGCATCTCGCAGCTACTTACCTGTAACCTGTCATAATTTCCGCCGGAGTTGAGCGTTTGATTGATTCACCCTTTTCCATTTCTTTTCGGGGGCAGCTAGGCGTGAGGCAAGGCTAGACGTGGTGAATATGGTGCATCCATTCCGGCACTATTTTGGAAATTTCAAAAAATATTTATTCCGGGAGTTATAAAAAAGGTGACAGTATCCTGTCCAACTTTGTTCCTTTCACTTTCGTTTGGAGGATTTGGTCAAATTGATCCCTTTGCTTCCGTTGGCTTGAGTCGGTTGACCAATTTTGATATCATGTTGCCATGTATACTTCCCTTCCCCTTTTCATCTCGTTCCTGCGTTTTCCTATCTTCGCTTCTTCGTTTGTTTTCCTACCACTATATATCATCTGCTCCTTCCCATATGCAAGTTGCTGCGCGTCTGTTCTTTTGATTATTTGTTTTATATATACGACCAATACCCAGAAATGCATCTCGGCTATCCAGGAGATTTGGATCCATATCTTTTGTTCCCCTTCGCTCATTAAGGGCAGTCTATCGTTTCTCAAAAAATACGGAGCCCTGCAATCGTTGAAAATTTGGCTGGCCAGCATGTCTCTCCACAAAGGGAGACAAGAGCCCTTCTCCGTCGTCAATCCGGACTTTGATCGACTACCTGTACGACGGACTACGTACGCCGTAGACAGACCCAGTGGCCTTCGACGAGTGGTCTCGGCGAGAGCATTAAGTCCGCATCTAGATTCATCTGAGTCCTTGCCCAGCGAGCATAGTTCTCTCTACGATGCCTTGCTGTTGAGCTACGAATCCGAGCATAACAACGGACCGCCATCGAAAGGGAAGAAAGATAATGAGGACGGTTCGAAGACAGCCGGTGCCAACCACTTGCAAGAGCTGCGCTCTTGGGACAGCGAAAGAGCCCGGCGCCGAGACAAGCTCGCAGTGCCTTCGTTGGATACTATATTCGAGAACCGGAGTGTATCTACCCACCGAGCTGCATCGTCTCGCTCAGGGCTGAGACATTATGCATCAGTTGGCGTCTCACTGAACACAATATCCTCGTACTCAGGAGTTTCGTCAAGGACACTGCCCGTCCGGCGGAATCAATACGGATCAAAGATCTACTCGTTCGACGACAATGATATACCCTCGCTTCGACCTAGATTCTCTTTTACTCCTCTTGCTCCTCGTGAACGCCGCCATTCATGCAGCACACTTTCTTCAGAGGGAAGCTTTGACACCTTTCGCTGGCGTAACTATATTGTTTCCCCAGCTGAACCTACACAGCCTATACATCCTCCTCCACAGCGACCAAGCACTCCCCCTGGTGTTCCCTCTTTTGGCTCACCAGAAGCTCTAAACTACGACATATCATCTCTCCCTAGATCAACTCCACGAACAGGCCAAGACAACAGTAGATCATCACCACAAGCTAACGGAAGCCCAGAAGGCGGAGAAAGAGAGAATGGCTCTGACGATGAATGCGGATGCTGTGGAATTGGATTCCGGAGAGCTATCCGCGAGACAACCTCCTATATCACCTATCAGCCTCCTGAACGTCTTCCCCCGGGAGTTCTTGCAAGGGCTGATGATGGAACACTTATTCGAGGGCGGTTTGGTGCTCGAGCAAGCGGACATGGCATTGGAGCCACTGCGAACTTAGTGAACCATCCGTTTCACCAGAATCACCTACCCATTGCAAGAACGAAGGATGCGGATATCCAACCACCACAGCCAGCCCGTTCAAGGTCTAGCCATCCTAACTCCCGCAATGACTTTGGTCTACGCGTCTCATCAACGGGTATTTCAAGCCCACCTTCTCGGTATCGATCGTTGCTTGATGATCACAGGGATTTACCCGCTCCTTCTGGCCCCGTACCAGCACCGTATTTGACTCGTACAAGCAATCGAACGACACCACCACGGCTCAGAGAGCAGATGCAGTATTCACGCCCTGCATCAACTTCAGCACCAGTTGGGAATGACGCCTCCTCATCCACCACTGAGAATCCCAGTGTGGCATCCTCCAGCAAGAGCGCTTTACAACGGCTCTGGAATCTCGTTTCATTAAACATAACCAAGTGCTGCTTCCTGGGCGCTGACGACGAACACGAGGGACAGCGAGGTACAGAGATGCAACGGATTCCCGAGTCCTCCCACCAGGCAACCGCAAGCGTAGCAATGGGTAGACGTGCCACTTGAGAACCCTGGGAGGAGTTGTATCAAGTTTGCTTCTTGGAGTAGTAGTCTTGTGCAGCCTTGTGTAGGGTATCTCCCTGGCATTAGCCGACAGGCAGCATCTATATCAAGCGTACCTAACGAGCCCTTCTGTCTTCCCAACACTGGATTCCTGCAGCTGTACTTATTTAATCACCAATAAACCAAGCCTCAGTTTCACATATACGAGCAACATGCGAGAAACAAAAAACCTCCCGTAGCCATCCTACCTTGTGTCTGTCCTCCTCTTCTTCTAGAACGAGCATGGCCCAATCGACAAGCATCTCAGCCCGAACTCTAGATGGCACCGATTGCTAATCTAATCCGCGGGTGATCAACGATGTTTCGTCTACCCAATCCATGTCCTATATGCGATCGATTAGTTAGGTCAAAGCGGCTGGGTTTTCCGAGGCCCGTCCAAGTTCTCTTCCTATATAAAACGTAATGGCTCCCCTCCTCCGCTCTCCCCCCTGACCAATATATGTGAAATAAGGGGAAATTCTCCGGGTAAATCCATGTTGATTGTTTGTTTCAAACGTAAGAGAATTGGTGGATGTTTACACGGAGTCAAGTCGAATTCTACTTGACTGGATGGTGGTCTACAGGGAGAGTATTGGATTCAGAATAGATAGATAGGTAACTAAGATTGGTATCGCTTATGCTTGCTGAAGATGATGATGGGGTTGATATAGCAAAGGAGAAGAATAGGCGCAATATGTCGTAGTAAACAAAGAGTGACATCAGCGAAAAGAAGATGGGGGAATAGATTATAGCAGAAAATGGAATCGGAACTAACCCAGGCCGTATATACGCCGCCAAAGTACAGTACATGGTAGGGAAAAGAAAATTGATAGCAATATCCAATGGAGTAAATGGTTGCCTATAATCCTTCGAAGAATTGACATGCTTCTTCGAGTTTCTTTTCTCCAGCTGCAAAGTCCCATCCGATGATGCGGGTATCCTGGCTTGCGCAAATTAGTTTGCGTGCATCAAATTGGATCTTTAATATTCCTGCTGTCGGAGGTATGAGGGCTTGATGTCCTGCGACATCAATATTGGCAGGCAGCGGGTTTGGTGGTACATGGGGCCCTTGGGCCTGATGCTGGAGCGCAGGGGCCGGAGGCAAGTTGGTGTCTGCTGCTTGGTCAGTCGGCTGCTGGGGCGGGAGAGGGTTGTGGGCGGCGGAGGCGGCTGCTCCGATTTCCAGGTTGTTTGCATGGTGAGGGCCTTGCATAGTTTCCGTTGATGCAGGACCAGCCTGTAGGATTTCATTGGTGGAACTCAGATCATTAGCTTGTGTGCGAGCGGCGGCCGCAGCTGCAGCCGCTCTAGCGGCCCTGATAGCTTCAGCCTGGTTTAACCTTTGTCCGATAATCCATTTGCCTTCTTTATCCCTCATCCAGATGATAATTGATTCATCGTAGGAGCCAGAGACAATTCTGGCCCAGTTGCTTCCACCTCCTCCAGGGGGTATTTTGGCGCCCAACGCCATGACGTCCTGTGGCAATCTGGACCCTGTATTTGGGGGTCGATGGCTGCGGCGGGTGGTTACAGGGTTCTCATCAATGTCTCCACGGCGTCTAGCTTCAAAATATTCCTGGTCCACTGCCAGTGCTTCAAGTCTCATGGTTTCTTCCGAGCCCGGAGGATCCCCAAAGCCGGCCTGGACTGTCCGGACAAGTCCCGAGTGACCCTTCAGGCAGGCAACTTCTGCCCCTGACGTGTGGTCGTAAATGCGGACTGTGTCATCATTGCTGCCGCTTACAATTCGTTGATTGTCAAATTGGATACAGGCAATCCCCTTATTATGGCCTAATATTGTCTTCAAACAAGTACCACTATGGATACTCCAGACTTTGATAAGCCGATCACCAGATCCGGACACGATTTCGTCCTTGTCAATCTGGATAGCATTAACAGCAGCTCTGTGCCCATCTAAGGTTATTAACAAACTGTACGGAGCTAGAGGCTTGATCTGCTGGTTGGCCATTTGGGCCTCAAGTGTGGATGGTGGGGTTGCTGCAGTGTCTATAATGTAGTCAGGGTATCTGGGGCCGGTTCCCTTGGCAACCCTGGGGTAGTCTGCGTCAGTGGGCAGCAGGGCATTCCGGTTGAATATTTTGATAGTCCTATCCTTCGAGCAAGTAACCAGGTACCGCTTATCGAAGCGCAGGTTGAGGACAGAGTCAAGGTGAGCGTTGGGAAGTTCGTGTATTTTTTCTCCAGTGGAGAATCGCCAGACGATAACGCTGCGATCACCACTTCCGGACATAATAACATCCTCCTCTGGACTTGCATCAAACTGAAGACAGAGAACGGATTTGGTATGACCAACTAGAGGCTGACCCCTCAGCCGCAGTGATTCTAAATCCCAGACCCTGACCGTCTTATCCCTGCTGCCACTGACCAGCCACTTGCCTGCGAACTGAATAACGTATACCCTCTCACGATGGGACTCCCACGGTGCATCTGGGTGGGGCAGCTGGAAATTAGTGAACCGGCCATGACGCCAGTTTTCTTCTAACTTCTGACGTTGTTTGTACAGGTAGGCCCAGTTCAAGGTAGGTCCGTTGCGGGACCATACAGCGGCCGAGGAGTAAGGGAGGGGTGACCGGTCATCTGTGAAGAGGGAGTCAAAGCCCGGAGAGTGCATTGAAGGGTCAAGAGAGTGGGGCACATTACACTTCTCAGCGAGCCGGGCGGCCAAGCGTGTAGGGGAGGAGATCTCCATGGGTGAGTTAGGCTCGACCGTTACTGCATCATGCATTTCATGGTCTCCCTCGGTGTCTGTGGGCATCCTGCCGATAACCACCTCAGGAGGACCAGCCCCAGCACGGTCACAGGCGAGCGCACGCCTCTTGAGCTGAGGCTGACCAGACTCTGACTCCGAGTGCCTGTTTCTGGATTTTCTGCCTTGCTGTTGCTTGGCGATCTCACTTGACTGGCGATGGAATTCCCGAATCGAGCTCATGTTGAGTCTCCATCCTTCCTTGATGTATAGTCCGCGCCATAGTCTAGAATCGAGGATCCTGCTGCGCCATGGTTTCGAGGCAAGCGATGCCGTCAGGAGCGTGGTAGGATCGAGGTAGGAGAATATTTCAGCCGTTATCTCTGGCGGAAGCTTCCGTACGGGATCCATATGGAGTAATGGGGTCAGACGTTCGATAACCCCGGTGATGGAGGAGGTCCGCAATGTTCTCAGCAGGGTGTATGCCAGTTCTGTGTAGCGTTAGTTAAACGCACAATCATTGTGAGTGGTGTAGATGAATGAACGGGCTGGGGCGATACCAGCTCTATCTGCTTCACTGCGCGCGAGGATCCATGCAGGCAGCTCGAGCGAGTCCTGAACGCTCTCATTTTCCTGCACGCTCTTCGTTTCGTCTGAGTAACCCTCGTCGATCTTACATGAGCTCTTCGCGGGGAGAACACTGTAGTCCCTTGGTTGAAGCCCAAAGGAAGCTCCCGCTTCGCGTCCCATGGAACCGTATTCTGTGATAAACTGGTTCAGGCGGAAGTCAACTAGCACGACGCCGGCAAACGCAGCAAAAAGGACACTCGAGCAGCAGCAACCAGGTCTCTTGGAGACACTGGCAATATCGTGGTAGTACTCCGTATGTCTCTGTGTCTGCAGAGGCCCCTAGGCTGGCTGTTGTGTCTCTCTTAACGGGCTGATGATGTTTTGATTCCTCCGGCCGAAAGCGTTGCAGGCGAAGATCAGCCGGACTAGGCTTCACGCGGTGGTACCTAACAGATCCTGCCCAGACGTTTCACGCTGCCGGCCTCGCCCTATCGCTTGTCGTCGTCGTCGTCGCTCGTCGTCTCTTCACCCTGCCCGTTCGTGGCTGTTGTCTTCCCTCGCCGTCTTTCAATGCTGTTGTAGTTCAACGTCGTTCGCCTTCGCCCTGTTTATCTTGGTTTGGCGCTGATGTCATGTGCCCGCTTAGTCACACCACTTACCTAACATCTTACTCAGCTTCTGACTAAACTCTGACTCAGCCGCGCTAACCCCCTTCTGAAACATCAAACCTCCAACCCTTCGACTTTCTCCTTAATCCCGCATTTTCACGAGCAGCGAGACGACCAGCGACGACGACGCAGCAACCAGACGATCCGAAGCCCAGCAGGCATCTCAAACAGCCGGACGCTCGTATACAGGGAGCCCTGTCGGCAAGCAGATCATAAAACCTCGTCCGGCCCCCTTCTGCAGCCCTGCTGCTGCTCTCTGTCCAGTGCGTGACCTTGTGACGGCCACTCGCCCTCCTTATCTCCTTCGCAACGGGACTCGCCGTTCGTTCGTTATCGCTAACGGCGGCGCATACCAGGACCGCTACGCACTCTCGCCCCCTCCGTACTCTCGCTCTACCTCCCCTCTCCCCTCTCGGTACGTCCAAGGGAGACTCCCGTTCTATATATCGGGGCTGTCGGTGTTGGACGCCTCGAGGGACGAATAATAACAAACGGGCTTTCGACGATCTCGGCAGTCCGTCTGCGCGGCTCCAACGGCGTGCGTGCACCAAGACGGCCCTATACGAGCTCGCTCCTTTACCTCCTTTTTTCTCTTTCTTGTTCCCTTTACTCTCCTTTCCCACGAATAGTGAACACGATATATCTCCGAGAAAACCGGCCAGCCTTCCATTTGACCGCCCTTCCTCAAGAGGGCTCACGCCCGGCCTACAACCAGCTCGAAGCTGCGAGGATAGATAATAGCGGTAGCTTATCGTTTAAGCACGCTTGACAAACGTCCTGATCAGCTGCGGAGCTTTGCTGGCGCCACCTAGCTCCATTTTCCAGCTGTTCGAGCCACCCCACTGTCGAAAAGCCAGCGGTGGCGCTTGTCCTCTGCGACTCATGCTTTCGGTCCTCGCGACGGACCAGGCTTTCTGGCCAGAGGAATACTAAGGCTCTCTGCTTTTCTTTTTTTTTTTTCTTTCCTTCCATAATTTTCCTTTCCTTTCCAGTTTGGCTATTGGGGGTATATAACTGGTGTGGTTGTTTTGATATTATCTAGCAAGATGGAGGGAATGAACGGGAATCACATCATGGCGGAGGACAACATCATCAATCGGCGAGGCGGAGAGTCGCTGTTCCAGAACTGCAGCAACCTAAAGAAGCGGCTGGCTGAGGTCCCTGGTTTCGAGCCTCACTTGGCCGAAATGCAAGAGTTGGATAAAGCTAGCGATGAGAACGACCCTGTCGCCTCGGTGTGGAAGTGTCTACGGCAAGGGTATCCATTGATGACGATATACAATGCCACCCACCCGTCAGAACCCCTCTCAATCGATGAGAACAAGCTACAGGAGCGGAACAGACCGAAGGCTGCGACTTTCAAGTTCCTTCAGGCCTGTCTGCAGGTACTCAAATTCCCACAGCAGGAATGCTTCCTCATCACAGATCTTTACGGTGACAGCACCACTGGTTTCGTAAAGGTACGTCTGCACCCCCTTCTTTCTATGTGAGTCCGGTCTAATGTTTATCAGGTCATAAAAATGGTCAACAGAGTAATAGACATACTCGAGCTTCAAGGCCAACTGTACAATAAAGTCTCGCCATCGACATCTTTGCCTTCCGAAGGAGGAAAGACGAAACTCACCCGGAGAGAACACATCCTAAAAGAAATGCTCGAAACCGAACGAGACTACGTCCACCATCTTCAAAACCTCCAAGCGCTCAAGAAAGAGCTCGAAGAAACCGGCGCTTTGACCGGTGATGTCAGCCATCAGATCTTCCTCAACCTCAACAACCTACTCGACTTTACTCAACGGTTCCTCATCCGGATGGAACAGCATAATGCACTTCCAGAAGAAACCCAAAACTGGGGCGACCTCTACCTGAGTCATCACAATGGCTTCCTTCAGTATGAGCCTTTTATCGCCAATCAACCCCGCTGTGATCAGATCTGCCAGAGGGAATGGGATAAGATTCATTCCGCACCCCGATCCCCGGATCTTCAACAGATGGTCGCCCAGTTATCAACGCTCAATGGATTCTTCGTAAAGCCGTTCCAGCGCCTTACTAAGTATCCTCTGATGCTCATGGTACGGCATTGATTCTTACCTTCTCTATAAAACATAGTAGCTAACGTCCTATCCATAGGAACTTCGAAAACAAACAGAAAACCCAGGCCTTGTTTCTGACATTGGCGAGGCCATTAACATGATCCAATTAATTCTAGATAACGCTAACCGCGCGATCTATAAAGAGCACCTGGTCTCCGCAGTCGAAGACCTTTCACAACGAGTAGAGGATTGGAAAGCTCTTAAGCTTGACCAATTCGGCGACTTATTGCGATACGGAACGTTTACCATCCTGAAAGGCGATAGTGGCAAAGACGCAGAAAGAGAGGTTCGTATAATTCTCTCCAACACAACTGCACAATCCTATTTACTTGGAAGCCGCCGGAGCTCCTTCACTGGTTCAGTCATCCACCTTCTTTCAGCAAACAGCCACCGCAGCTGGAGCTGGAAACAGTCTAAGGATTCCAAATACATTTCTGTCTTCCCTACACCAACACAAGTTGCCCATCCCCTGGAACTCCTGACCCCTACTCACTCTGCCAGCACCAAAACACTTGAATTCAATACCCCTCCGCCTAGACCTAGACAAGACTCGTCTGAAAGCTTCAATACTTCGCCATCCAAGTCTAAACGATCTATCTCTTCTATCTTTTCCCTTTCGAAAAGTAACAAACATACATCTTCCCCAATCACCCCTTCCATACCCCAGCAACGCCTCAGCAAGGCCCATGTTCGAAAAAACAGTGGAGTTGGATCTGAGGACGGTCGTTAAAGGGTACCATCTATCGCAACTATATACCAAACGTTCAGGATGAGGTATATAGTACACCGGGGAGAAGAAAAAGAGAAAGACAAGAAATCTTGAGCCATGGCTCAAAATAAATTAAAATCACCAGACCAGCAAGTTTCCATTCTCAAAACATATCAGCATTGATTCAAGTTGCCCAACACTTGAATCTTGTCACTACTCAAAATATAAAATTGTGATACCCTATCTGGATATCTACTTTCCATAAGTATTGTTTGCTTTCATCCAATCTTCTTACCCTGGACTGCCCCTGAACCACCAACACCCTGGCTATGACTGAACCTTGGAGCATTGATTTGAATATATTGCTAACTCCTTTTTCCCTTTTAGTATCACATATATCTGTTCGAGCAGATCCTTCTCTGCTGCAAAGATATCTACCCAGCCAAGCAGAAGAGCAAGCTCATGGGGAAAGAGAAAGTCGTCCCAAACCCCAAAGTGAAACCAAAGCTACAGCTCAAGGGCAGAATTTATATGACGAATGTTACCGAAATATTATCACTTTCAAAACCAGGTTTGTTACTATCCTTTGTGGCATGGAATTCTAATCATGGTTCTAACAAACTTGATTAGGATCCTATAAGATACAGATATTTTGGAAAGGCGACCCAGGTGTTGTCGATAACTTTGGTATCCGCTACCGAGACGAAGATACAATGAATAAATGGTATAAGGATATCGACAAGCAGCGGGCCCTTCAATCACACGAACGGCCTTCGTCCAAACACCACGGGACCTCAGAGACAGAATTCACATATCTCAGGAATACGCCCAAACCCCCAAATCTTTACCAGGAGGAGTATAGTACCGAAGAAGAGTTGTCAAGAGAGCCAACCAACACTTCTCTTTCAGAGTTCTCCACATCACGAAATGCATCTAATACGAGTTTACGGGGACGCTCTGCTACTAATGGCAGTGGAGGCTCCGGTCACCACTCAGGTGGTCGACCGCAGTTCCCGACGCCTACTGCTCCCCTAACGGTGCATACGCAGTTTACTCCTGGGGCCATATCCCCAGGTGAACGCAACGGTGCATCTTATTTCTCTCCTACAGGCGAGGCACCCCCATCAACAAGATCCAGTTCCCAATCAACAGCCTTCTCATACTCGCGTGGAGGAACTCCTTCAAATGCCTGGACTGAAGCAGAACAGAACCGGTACACTGCCCCAGCCATGCCCAGGTCAGGCTCCAGAGACGGATCTGGAAATAACCCGTACTACAACAACGGGTCTCGTAACGCCCAGCGGCCCTCATTACCTCCGTTCTCGTCAAATCAAAACGGACAATCCGGGTCACAGTCCCAGGCACAGGCACGGATGAGATCAGCAAGCAGCCCTGACATTCACAATGGCGCTGTTCCAGACTCCCGCCGATACATGAACGGTGGACATACTATGCAGACCGTAGATAATGTTCCCGTGCCTCCGATACCCCCTCACATGGCAAACATGCGAGCTCCCGTAAACAGGAGCCAAAACAGCTCTCCCACTGGAAACACAATCCCGATACGCTCCGGCACACAGTCACCCAATTTGCAACCACCACCCTCCCGCCATGGTCACGCCCACCCACCACCAGTGGGCTATAATTACGAACCTCACGCCCCCAATGGCCGGCCACTACAACCTCCAACCTCTATGCCTCAAACCTCCCCATTCGACGACCCCGACTCTCAGATGCCCAGCCAACTTAAAGCTAAAATCAACTTCGATGATAACTATGTAACGCTCGTGATTGCGAGCAACATTCTCTTCCGCTCGCTCACAGACAGAGTAGACGCAAAACTAGCCCGGTTCACAGACCGGTCGATCGGTGGCAACTCCGCCCGACTACGATATCGAGACGAAGACGGCGATTTTGTAACAATTGATAGCGACGAGGCCGTCCAACTTGCATTTATGGAATGGCGTGAACAGCATCAGCATTCGCTTGCCGCCGGCCAAGTTGGTGAAATCCAGCTTTTCTGTCAGCCGGTGGAAAATTGATATTAGTCTCCTTTATGTTTATCTCGTTCCTGCTCTCTCTCTCTCTCCTCATCACCTTCTACTACTACTTACCTGCTTGTGTGCACCCTTGTTCCTTTTTTTATTTTGTTTTGTTGTCTATAAAAAAAAACCAATACCCCCGTTCGCTTGATTATTCTGCTTTGTCCTGTTCATCATGTCTGTCTGGCTTTTTTGTTTCTCTTTTTTTAACTCATTACACTGTATTCCTCTCCCTTTTTCTCTCATGTTATATCATATTAAATCCGTTTCAAGATGTATTGCGGATGCAAAGGAGGAATCTTGACCCCCGGAGACTTTTCTATTCGATAACCACCATCTCATCTAGTTTACTTGGATGTGAAGGAGATGTATGTGCTACTGTTGTCCGTTGGAGGGAGGAAGTAAATAAGTCCGACTAAACTAGTATTTTATAAAACTTCAAGCAGCTCTCAACCAGTCAGAGTACCCCGGTCTACCTACCTACCCTTTAATTTGGTGCATGTCAATACATCTTTATTATCATTATAGATGTTCCCCTGAAACGTTTCTGCTTATATACAACTAGATATCAGATAACCGCGTTGATTCCTTGTGTCTATGTCATGACTTCTTATTTCAGGACGCATCGAATAGCCGCAGCGGAAGGGTAGTCCATGCATTTCTCCCCCGATAGGGCCATGGGTGCTGAATCACATGACGGGCTCCTAGATGGAATTAGTTGAGTGTTTTTCTTTCCCTTCTTGACATTGATACGTACGTGTATGCTGTGCAGGATGCAGCTCTATCAATCTGTATAGATTTGACACTATTCACGCTATTAGATCACGAGTATGCCGGGTAGTTAACAATCTCTGTAAAGGATGAACGTACTTCAGCGAGAGCAAGTCGTAGCACCCACCATCCGCCTGGACGAGGGCCGGCGCTCCTCCACACGATCTTTCTTGATAGATATGTGCCTACAAAGAGTCGACCATCAGCATAGGTATACAGACATCAACCAAAGAGAATCAACAGCTCAACTTACACCATAGATCGGTATGGGAGCAGCCACGGCACAAGGAAGAGCCAGAAGTCCTGATATCAAGATATTGACCAAATATTTCATCTTGTCCAGAGAGATAGCTATTGATTCGTTGTAACTGGCTATAAGACAGCAGTATGCCAACCGAACAAGAGGGTAAGTGTATGAGTATCTAACAGAACAAGCTGCTCACTCCGGGAAAACCCCATCTTTTAGATGCCATGCTGGTGTAACTTGCTAGTGGCCAAAGGGTCATGTCAACCGATCAACGCCTACGCGACGCCGGATTCGAGCTCTGGATTGATCAGCCGCTGTCGTGCAACCGCTGTATCAAGAAACATAAGCTCTTCGTATTTCCTGGCCCATCTGGCTGGCTTGCAGCCAATCTGACGCTCGGATATGGCTGTACGTAGCTCCTTGCTTGGAGGTGGGTGGGTATAAATGCAGGAGTTGTGAAGCTGGTGCTGGTTCCTTGCGTCTTTTGATACAGGATGGTCTAGATGTTTGAGGTGCATGCTCAAAGAAACAAGGTCTTTTCAATCAGCCATCCGTCTTTTCGCCTGTGTAGCCCTTTTCATGCATCGTGATGCTGGCCGAAGTGACCATGATGCCTTGTCTTCTGATATGTAGTTGGTTGGTTGTAGCTAGTTATAGCACGACGTCGTAGCTTCGCCCCACCGTGCAATATCAACGTCAACATCAACCAACACCCAAGGAGCAAAATACTCAATCAACAGAAGGACAGAAGACATAAGTGCCCAAGATGGCATCTCCAACTCTCTTCAAGCTGATCTTCCACGTCCCGACAACTGCTCTCGAGGCCTGCAAAACCGCAATCTTCGCAGCTGGCGCTGGCAAGTATCCTGGACCCGGGAACTACACCGAATGCTGCTTCACCACCGTTGGAACAGGCCAGTTCCGACCCGGAAACTCGGCGAACCCGCATATAGGCAGCGTAGGGACGCTCGAGCACGTCGAGGAAGCGAAAGTCGAGACGCTCTGTGTTGGTGAAGAGGTCGTTAAAAAGGCCGTTGCTGCACTGAAGCAGTGAGTGAATCAGAAACCCAGACGAAGGTGAATTAAGGATTGAATGTATTAATACTTTGCCTGATGGTCTAGGGCACATCCATATGAAGAGCCTTCCTATGAGGTTTTTAGGATGGAGGATTTCTAGAGATGTTGTGACGGTTGATCTGGGTGTAAGTATGTATATATTGATGATATGGTATGGACATGAACGGGTAGAAGCTGAATGAATTATATATCTAGGGTATCGAGAATAGGGGGGCTATTAATTTGAATCAAGCATTATACATTTAAGCGCTTCAAGCATTTGAAGACCAAAGAACAACCGGAATATTCACATAGAATACATAGCAACGCAAGTGCCTGCATGTATATAAAAAATCAAAGACCGACCAACCAATCAACTGTCCCCCAAACGCCGTCGCTGATAGTCTCGTAGATGCTTCAACTTGTTCCTCTTATGTTTATTGATTGGGTACCATTTCATATCCGAAGTTTCATCGTCTCTCGCTCCAACACCTCTGACTCGCCTCCATCTCCTGTCCGTCGTCTCTCGAGGACCCAGTACTCAGATCCGGACTCGTCTTTGCTTCGGACGTAGCTGATACGTTCGCCTGCGGTGGGGGACATCAGGCCAGATTTCTCATCTTCCATGCGTAGCGAATGTCTGCTTGCCGGGTCCCAGCTAGACGGAGGTCGAACGGTATCCGAATGTCTTCTGATAGCTCTGGGATCCGGGGTAAATTCCCTATCAGCATGGGTGGGACTGTTCACTTCCGAGTTACCGCCGCCATTTACTAAGCCACTACTTTGTACCGGCGAACCTGTGTCGTAGTAGTGAGTCAAGCTCCCGCGATGAGGTTGGGCCGCTGAAGGTGAAGCGGCGCCCTGGCTACCCCCTGTGTTGCTGCGTAGACTGCCGTTACTGCCGCCCCAGGCCCCCCGCCGTAGTTTCATTAGAGCACTTAGCGATATCTCGTCATCGGCGACTTCCATATCAACGAGCTGGGCTAGTGGAGGCTGCTGCTGATGGCTCGAGTGACCGGTATGAGCGGCCAGAGAGACAATTGAGTTGCGTGTACTCCATTCACTGCGCTCGGTAATTGGTGTCAGGCTGGGTTCTCGAAAGTTCTTTCGTCCACTGTGGTTTCGAATGATCCCTTCTGAGCCAGGGGCACCAAAGTAGCCGCCGTACACACGCTCCTTGTCGTCACTGCCATGGGCATGGGCATAGAACCCAAATTCCCGGCCATAAAACCCTTCATCGTCATGCTCCAGGACGTCTGCATTAGCTTCGGCGATAATCGGATCATCGTCTAGGCCGTCTCCATCGTAATAGTCAAAGTCGTCTAGCGGGTCATCCATGCCTAGCGCATCAGTATCAACTGTCTGGCTCATTCTGCTCTCATCTGTGGTCAAGCATGGATCAGTTTGAGACTCTCCCTCTGGCAGGGACGTTTCACTTAGACTTGCGTTCCGCTCAAACCTTCCCTTGCGAGCAGCTTCATTGGCTGCCTGGGCTAAGGCGCTATGGTATGCTTCCAGGTTTCCCTCTGTTAGTCCCTGGAATTGAGATGGGGGCTCATCCATGTTGTGAGCAGGCCTGGCCTCCACGACGCTGTTCTGCGGCATTGGGATTGGATTGTCGTAGCTGGCAGCGGTCGACTGCTCGGACAAGGCCTGAGGAGGCTGAGCAGCTCGCCTTTTGTTATCATACAGATAGCTCGTCTCATCGTCAAAGATAGACTCGTCGATGGTAGATCCTTGCATCTCAGGGGGCAGTTCGCCAAAGAGACCGTCATCGTAGTACAAGTCATCCTCGCCATTATTACCCCTGGAGGCTTCCTGGTTCGTGGTAGGCAGTTCAGGGCTCACCATGGCGGGTGGAACGGGCTGTTGGAATCCTGAATACATTGACAGACCAGGCTGGTTCGAGGACATGATAAATCCTGGAGGCACCGAGGCCCCATTATTAGCCACGGGGACAAAGGAACTGTTCCCTGGAGGGCTTGTAGGGCTAGACATGACCGTAGACAGTGTAGGGGCATATGACTTCATATAATTCTGCAAGGCTGGGTTTGCAGCGGTATCAGACTCGTCTATGGAGTCAGCATCGGCGTTGATGCCAGGTATCTTCTCTTCCAGTCCGTCATCATCTATCATGGCGTCGTAATCAAACTCATCAGAGTCGTCATCAAATTCACTCCTTAAATTAGTACCCATGGCTCTCTTCGCAGCCTCTTTCTCCTTGTGTCTTTCTTCCATCAGCCTCTCCTGGGATGCTGAGGCAGCGCCCGCCAGGTCGAAACTAAACCGCGATGCACTGCTGGTCAAATGTCGTGGAAGTCCCAGAGGAACAAATGATGGATCTCGGACTGATCCGGGCTTGTACCGTAAGGTAGACGGAGGAGATCTCGTATAAGTTGATGATGTTTCTTGAGCATTCTGTTGTGGTTGTTGTTGTAGTTGTTGTTGCTGTGGTGGTGGTGACGTTGGTTGCTGCTGCTGCATATCAACATCGGCTTTGGGGTTCGTTTGTATGGGAAATTGCTGGTTCTCAGCCTGTGGTTCCGGAGGCAGCTCGACGGATGCTCTATTAATCTGTCTATACGGTGTTGGAGCTGTGATCTGCATCTGCTGAGCCTGATGCGGTGGCTTCTGGGGTCTGGGAGGATTGTCAGGGAGCTCTCTGAGCTGTCGTGAGCGGGCATTGCTGCTATCCACCATATTTGACCGAGCCCGCGGCACCGAGAAATCATGGACCAGGCTGCCTCTGATCCTCGGGTCGTAGTCGTCCGGCAGAGCTGGGACAGTGAGCTTGCTGATGCTGATATCCTCTGGCCTCGCACTGGCCGGCTGGGCAGACCGTCTTCTGGCAAGCAAGGCCATGGGATTCAACAGGTTCAGCCTCGTCTTTGTCCCCTTTGAGGACGGCACTTCCACCACCTCCTGGCCGTGGTGATGCTGCTGGTGCTGGTTCTGCTGCTGGTTCTGCTGGTGCTTCTTCGAGGGACCGTTGCCTGACTCTCGCAGGAATCCTCTAGGCTCGCCCGCATAGGCGCTGGAGCTGGTATCAGGCGAGGGCTTCGAAGATGACCGGCTCGCAACCGCACCAGGCGAGTATCCCCCGTCCCCCATGCTTCCCTTCAAGCTGTCTGACGGAGACGAGCTCGATCCCTTACCCAGCGTCCATCTCCAGGTCGACGAGGAGCGGGCCGTATTCTCTGGTGCCGCCACCTGGCCCTGATGCTGGCTCTGGTAGTGCTGCGGATGCTGAAAGCCAGCACCAGCACCTGCACCCACGCCCACGCCCACGCTCGGCGAGTTCTGCGTGCTCCCATACATGGACGAGACATTCGAGTGATAGCGGTCGTTTGCCAGCCAGTTGTCCCTCAGTTCGTATTCCGTCACAACGATTTTCTCCTCGGGCGACGGTGGGACAGTTTTTCCCGGACAGCAGCAGATCTTCTCATCTGAGAACCATTTCCCACTGTTGAAGGCCGAGTTGAGGTCCGGCTCGGCCGTCCAGATGCCCGACTCGAAGATGCCGTCTGTCAGGGTCGAGTTGGAGGCTGTGAAGGAGTCGCTGCTGGGCCGCGGCGGCGGCTGCGAGGAGGCCGGCGGAGGGGCGCAGGCGACGCTGGACGGGCGCTGGTCGTCGCGCCGCATGTAGGTGAACATCGGGAGCTCGCGAGCTGCTTCTCAGGACGGTCTTTTGTCAATCTGCGTCTGGATTATGGGTTGGATGCAGCCATTCTTTGTATTGCTGTTTCGTTTGCGGCGGTGGAATTGGATTTGCGCTGTGGATTTTAGGTTACGGGAGGCGAAGACAGGGCAAAAGATATTATTATTATTAGCAGTAGCAGTAGGAGGGGGAGGAGGAGGACAGTCGAGGAGAAGCAGGAGAGATTAAAGGGATGGTAAAAGAAGAAGAATAACAGAGGAAAAGGAGTCGTTTCCAACAGATTAACGGGCGACGATGACTGGCGCCGATGCGTCTGCATGTAAATAAATAAAAATAAATAGTCAAAATAGTTATAAATAGCGAATTGGCTTGCTGGTTGGCTGGTTTAGCCACAGCCTTGCAGGGATGCAACCCCCGGGGGAGACAGCAGGGTCTGTTTGATAGAGGGAGATGTCGCTATTTGGCAGATATTTGAAGATATTGGTAGATTTGGCAGATAGATTTGGCAGACGAAATGGCAGCAGCAGTCAAAAAAAAAGGAGAAACCAACATCCAACACCAAGCTATGCTATATTACACCGAGTAAGATGATTAAATGCATAAAAAGGCAGTAAAACAGTCAAAAGAAGATATTAAAAAGAGCTAATCCGTCATGATAGGAAAAGAGTCAGAAGCCTACTGGCGAACACTCAGTCTCCATCGATCAATCATGTCCCGCTGACGAGGATCAATCATCTCCTGCTGTCCACCGACGGGATGCATGCTTGCTGGGTTATACACGAATCCATTCGTCGGATAGCCGAAGCCACCGACGCCGGTGCTGCTGCCCAGCATGCCCAAGCCGTTCAGCATGGCCGGAGCAGTGCCGGGTGGCGGGCCGTGACTGTAAGGCAGCATTGGTGCGCCAGACAGACGATGGCTGGCCATAGAGAACGGGGTCGTGGTGCTGGTTAGCATTGAGGCACGAGTGGGAGGCAGATTGAGCAAGGAGTGAGTTGAGGCCATGGCTGCCGGCGTCCGGTAGCGCATGTCGAGCTCTGAGTGGGCGGTTACGAGGCCGGGACGAGCTGGATGGGCCTGCAGGACGTTGGCCATTGTCCGCCGGGCCTGGAAGGGGGAGGATGTTGCTGTTGCTGAGGCGGATTGCAGCTTAGCTTCGGCTTGGAGACGCTTGCGGCGTTGGCCTAACGTCTCTTCCTCTGGCTCTGCTGCTGCTTGTGCTGCCGCTGCCGCTGCTGCCGCTGCCGATGTTGCTGGCGCAGCTTTGGTCTTGTCCTTGTCAGCGGCGCCATCGAGGTCTCCGAATTTCGATATCAGGTCGTCGAAATCGCTGCGTGAATCACGGGCCTTCAGACGGTTCTTCCGCTGCGCAAGCGTCTCTTCTTCGTCTCCGCTCTCTTCGTTGCCGTTCACATTGTTATCTGTGAGGCCTAGAATATCAAGCGTGTATGCGGTACTAGCCCGCTTATCGGGACTGGGATCCCTCGGGGCCAGATTGCGAGGCGTTGCTGCTCGGGCCGTGTTCAGCGGCTCTCCCTTAATCCTGGCCCGTCGTCTACTAAGCGGCTCACTCTCCTCAAGCACAAGCTTCTCCATCAGCCCCAGGGGTCGGTTCTCATCCTGCAGTCTGCTCTGCTCGGGGAATAGTACACCCAGCGGTACATCGTCGTCGTCGAGCTCGTCCTGGCCTGTACCCTGGTGGCCTTCCCAGGCGAGTGTGACTCGGCCCTTGTCTCGCTTCTCTCGCTGACGCTGTGCAACGCTATCCAGTTCAAGCAGCGTTGAATGCATTCCATTGGGGAACGCTGTGGCTGCTGTCCGGGTTCTCATCTTTTGCTGGTGCTTTCGCATCTGCAGCTCAGCAAGCAGGGTCGTTGGCGGTCCAAAACTCGGTTCGTCGTCCTTCCTCTCGTCATCGTCTTCTTCCTCGTCATCTTCCTCTTCCTCCTCTTCATCTTCTTCATGCGCTCCAGCCTCTCTCAAGGGTGACGGAGTTCTGGAATATCCATGAGTGGCGTGCTCGTCGAAATTACTCCGCAAGGAGGTACTCTCGTCGACATTGTCCAACATTTGTCCGTCGGAGGGAGTACGTATGTGACTTCCCGGCTTGGTGGTAGAGGACACGGATCGATCAGTAGTCATGGTTCCGTCCGGCTTCACTGACCTTCTCTTCTTGTTCTTTGAGCGTTTCTGCTTGTACACATCTGCACCCAGGTGGCCGACTATGGGGTGGTCTGTAAAGGCACTGACAGGAGCATGTGCAGCGGCATCCAATATACTCTCCAACGTATCAACGGCCGATTCTCCCTGTATACGAACATCGATCTGGGTCTTGGGGGCGTCGAAGAAGGCGCTTGCACGGAGCTGTGGTGGGAGATTTGATAGCCGCTTGCTCATCCTATCTCCTGCACTCGAGCCCTGTTCGGCATCTGTGATCCAGGCGGCGGACTTGCGTGCCTCCGGAGAGATCGAATTGATCAATTGCGTGCGTCGTTTCTCTTGCTCGGACATTGGAGGTTTTCGGGAGAGCCGTTGGGGCAGGTTGAGCATCATGGGCACAGGTGCCGGATAGTAGACCACATTCTGACCGGGGGGAGGGTTATTGTAGTGTTCAGCTTCTGCTGCGAGAGGAGGTTTCGAGAGAGAGACGCCGCGGGAACGAGGGACTTCTCTAATATGTGGTGTAAAGTGAACGCCGTCGAAGTCCTTGAACAGGTTCGTAGACTGCTGGTAGGTGTCCCCAGACCCAGCACTATCCGGTCTTTCTCCCTGTTCATTCTGCTGCTCGTACTGTCCATATTGCTGTCCATGCTGCTGCTCATATTGCTGCTCATGCTGTTGTCCATATTGTGAAGGCTGTTGTTCCAGGCGGTGCTCAGGGGGAGGCGGTATGGTCGCAGGAGCCATCTCAGCAGCACCCTCGTTCTCTGGCTCGATGATGTGAGCCAGTCGAGACGCAGACGAGCCAGACCGTAGCCGCGGCCTGTTCAACGAAGACTGTCTCGACAAACTCCCGTATCCGGACGCTGAAATAGACGTAGCAGCAGCAGCAGAGACGCCAGGGGAACCGGGCGAGGCCGTCGAATTGGCGATGGAAGCCCCTGAGGCGGCCCTCGACCGGGGCATCGACATGCGGTTCAGCGTCTCCAGGACCCTCTCGGCCTCGACCTCCATGCTCATACGCTCAGCAGACTTCTCGAGTCTCTCTACGTTACCGATATAGGCCCCCTGGATCGACTGCAAGTCGGGCGTTGGATGGCGTAGAGGCGTTGAATTCCTCCGGCTGCGAGGCGTCTGCATCACCGGCTCCTCAGGCTTCTTCTCTGTCTCAGACATCTTTTCAGGGGTTTTCTCGGGCACGGCGTACTCGTCTGCCTCGACCAGCTCGTAGCTGGCGGCTTTCTGGCGCATGATGGCCGTCGTCGCAGTCTGGAGGAGCGAGTCTGGCGCGGTGCTGGCGGCGTCTCTGTGCTCTGAGCCGCCAAAGTTGTCGAAGTCGAGCGTCAGTGGCGCAAACACAGGCGACCCGAGGACCGGCGAGCGGTCTGAGGCATCGTCGGAGGCAGAAGACGCAGCGTCGAGCTGGTCTGTCTGCGCGAGGGCATTGTACATGGTGTTCTGGCGGAGGTTGAGCTGGTCGTTAGCTGTGCTGGTGATGTCTGTCTTTCTCTATCTCTCTGTCTTCTGTATGTCTGTCAGCGTCCCGGTCAGTCACTCTCTGTCAGTCAGAGAAGAGAAGACGGAGCGAGTGTCATTATCCGCCTCGCCTGTCTCCCTCTGCCGCTTCTCTGCCTCTTGCTGCTATGTTCTTCTGGCTGTCCTGTTAGTATCTGGGCTGCGTCCAACGCGGTTGTTGAGAAAAGTTGACTCGCCACTGGTGGAGATGTTTCATCCTCGCCTGCAGCGATCTATTATGCATGGATGTAAACAGTTGGATGCCGGTGCCAGTTACTTGTTACTTGCTCGTACCCATGTCTATCGTGTTTACATACAGCGCAGGTAGGTTGATATATAGATAGATGTCCCTCGGTAGACATCGATATGGCCGTCCGTCTGTATATATACCGTACTTTACCCCCGACAGTGTCTTGTCAAAGGCCGACAGCCGTGAAACTGGCAGCGATAGTTCCCAGAATCTCTCTGCTAGCATCCTGGCGTATACCTAGTCATTATCTCCCCGCCATCCTGGATATTCGCTTCTCTCCAACGATGGCCACTAGGAATGCCATTTTGGAGTAGTCGATTGATCCGTGGCCGGCAGAAAGGAGTGAAACAGAAAGTCGCGCTCGTCGAGAGTTTTTTTCATGGTTTGAAAGACTAGATTCCCAGCAGCCGTACAGCTCCAGCTCTCGATATATCCTTATCCACAAGAAGGACTCCAGGTAATGCAAGAGTCTGACTTGCTGGATAACGACCCAATGGCCGTAAATTGCCTGGCGCTCCTTACAGGGTCAGCGAACCCGAATGATTGATGTGTTTGAACGTTGCTTGATTGTTTGTTCCCGTCTAGCAGTTGCATTGTACGGAATAATATATAAAGGTCTTGTCTCTTGACTAGTCATAAAGTGGTACCCGCCATGGGCCCTCGATCACAGCGTACTAGTGGCTATGCTTCATGGTGTACTTTATATTGGGAGTCCCTAAGCTATTCGTTTAGTATATGGTCAATATGCATTCCGTACCTTATGGGGTTGGTATGAGTGCAAGAATTTGCGTGGAGTATATAGGGCACGGAAGAAGAAGATTCATTGTTTTCTGAGTGGCCTCATTAGGATAGGCCCTCAATCTGGCGGTATATCTAATGACCTTGCTTTGTCACCTCATGCGTCATGAGAGCTCGATAGCCCTGACCAATCTCCCTACCGTTCCAGGGTCTCCATAGACCAAAACTCCGTTCTGCAACTTGTTGGACTCATTAATGACGGACGTTGTTGACGTGAATTTTCAGGCCGTTGACTTTGTTATAGGCCATTCCTTTGAAGGACCGCTCTGACTAGGCTATAATAACGCTCGCTCCCCGTAGGACACTTCATAAGGAGTCTAGGAAGTTTCTTCTCTAACATAACTCCATCGTGCCTGATTATCACTGTAGTCTCGCCCATCTAACCAGTGGTATATTTCAATAGGCTGATGGGGTATCTGCCGACAATGGCTGATCATCTTCTGAACCACCAATTGCGCTAGGCGAGAAACAAGATCATTCAGGGTATATTCATGTAATGTTCCAGTAGGGAAGATCAAGATCTCGACACTGAGTAGAAAAAGTCGATATTGAAAAGTCGATGAAGTCGAAGAGAAGAAGTTGATATAGAGTGTGACACGTGACCGTGGTAGGAAAAAGCGACGAGACGACGCGAAGTTGAATATCGAGAAGAAGAAGACAGCGATATTTAAAGACAAGGAAAAGGAGAGGAAAGGAAGAGAAGTTATAGAGATAGAGAGATATCAGAGACAAAGAGGAAAGAGATGAGATAGCATGTCTTACTACGACGTCGACGCTATCCTGACGGACTCGCAGGTAAGTCCCCGCGTGTATAGAGAGAGACCACTCGGTCAGGGGCAGGATTTCAAGAAGAAGAGACCAACTAGACGGCCAAGCAGGCGAGACAATGAGAAGTGAAGAAAGCAGAGACTGACTGGAGCAGAAAGTCCCGTGTACGTTCGAGCTGGATGTTCCCAAACTGGGGTTCCTCGATGGCAACGCCGGCGGAGATGTAAGTCTTCATCTGCTCCCAACCTGTCTATAGATAGATATACAGGCTAACGGACTCAGATAAAAACCGGCTCCAAGGTCGAGCTGCCTCTCTGGCTAGGCGAGATGCTTGCTGTCGGGTCAGTCTGCCTCCGTTATGATATGTATTCTGGCTTATGCTGACTGCTACAAGAGCGCGCCAGGGCTTATCACCCCTGGTAACGCTAGACCTGCCCAAAGCGCTGTCAGAGCAGGTCATGAACGCCCTCAAGGCCGATCCCAGGACGGTAGACCTGCGGGCTCTAGCGCCCCATTTCTACCGGCTGGGTTGTAGGATACTGCAGCTCTTCGAGGAGGAGGAGATGGTCGACGTGCTCTCCCACGTACGTCTTGGTACCGCGACACCCTTCCCAGGCATTCGACTACTGGCTAACCTCCCGTAGACATTCAAGACGAGGGCGATGCAGATATCGGATCATGCACACAATCCCGCTGGACCGATGTCAGGCCAGGAGTTTCTTCGTGGCCTCGACGAGACTGAGCGTCAGCGTGAGTTTATACTTCTACTATTGGATGTTTGACACTGACTACGTACGGGCTACGGATCACTGACTTCCGCCGCTGCAGTCTTCCGGGCCGCCCATGAGAGCATCAAGAGCATGAGAGCCTGGACGGGAGAAGCAAAGAAGAAATGAAACATGAAACATAACTATACTCCATACATCTGGGTGAAGCAGGTTGAACGAGTTCCCATGGAGAGTGCACGGCAGACTGTTATTCGTTGCAACGCTCAGGAACACAGGGGCCGGCGGGCAGGTTTTTCACCAACCATGGATGGCTCCCGCGAGCTTAACCCTGCTTCGACGTGAGAGCGCTGCCCTGGCTGGCTAGTTATCGACCGGGATGGATGCGTACGAGCTCCTGCGAGAACTCTACCAGGGGTAACTAAGACTAGGTAGTTAGATAAATAGCTAGCTAGCTAGTGTAGGCTTCGGTGTTTTCTGTAGGAGGCTGGGCCGGCAGAGAGTGCGTGAATGCACATACTAAGAGGATACTTAATAGCTGTTCAGAACCGCTGGGGGTCACTGTCTTATTCCTTTCGTGCAGGTGGCTGTACGAGTCGCAGGCCGTCTGCTTGTATATCTTTTATTGAATCCTGTGCGCAGGTCCCTCTCCCTGTGTAATAATAGCAGCTATCCCTGGTCGCCGCCGCTGCCTCTTCGACGGGCGTCTCCTTTCAGGGGGGAAAACACCGAGATGTGAACTGCCAGCCACCAAACGCTCTTCTACATCACATTTCATAAAACAAACACCACGACATAACATCCCTCACACGTCCAATTCCTGCGTCTGCATTGCTTCTCGCAGACAGAATACGCCGTTTATCCCTGTCACGCTTTCGAACGAGTCACAGATATCGCATTCCTGCGCCCCCCCGCCACCCACACAGGGACGCAGACGCAGGCTCGAGTCGCTTATCAGCTTCATTCCCTTCGTCCTAATCTCCTCCTCCCTCCTCTTCGTTCTCTCCGAAAGGCTTGTCCTCGATGGTTGCGCGAGCCTGACCGCTACCGTCGCTTGAACCGGATCCTGTCGCTGGCACGGCTTCAATTGATTGCTCGGCCATGGATGCGAGACAGAGACGCTCCCTGGAGCCCTCGGGGCGCCTGAACAGTACGCACTCAAGTCTTTGCCCGAGCCGCAGAATGCGGGAGACTGACGGGACAAAAGGCAAGCAGATGGCCGCCGAACAGTCTCAGAGTGTGCGGCCGAATCCCCGTCTGCATACGCTGAACGATGGTGTCCATATACCTGCTGGTTTGTACTTCCCCAGCCATTCCGACAGGAGCGCCTAAATGCATATACTGACCTATCCGCCCCCCCCTTAGAATACAGGCACATACCCGGCCAGGCCAAAGACACAGACGGAGCGCAAAGTGAGTGCTATATATTCGAAGAGTGAACGACTACGGGATGGCTAACAAGCTGTAGGGAGCTCAAGCGCGGCTGGATCTCCTTTTGTGAACCCAACATCGACTCTCCTCCAGAACCTCATCAATGAACAGCGCGCTTCTCGTGGTCCTCGAGCCAGCTCAGCCTGTGAACAGCATCATGTCGAGAACAGTTCCCAAGCCCCTAATACTGCTGGAACTGCGGACCAACAAGAGGACTCGTCTTCCGAGAAGCAGCGCAAGATTAACAATGCCCTGTCGGCAGGCCTCAAACAGCCCCGAGAGATGGGATTCAGGGAGATGGACCAGGCAAGCGACCTTGTTTAATCCATTATGACAAGCCTATCTAACTGGACGATAGTATGTATCAAAATTGAACAAGCTGAACTTCGACCTCAAGCTTGAGGTATTCCATCGCACGCAGCAGGTATCTGCTCTGGAGAAGAAATTGGAAAAGATGGATGAACTCGAAGAACAGGTCCAGCATATGGAACTCATGGACCAGGAGTTACAAGAACTCCGCGCCACCGAAGAGGATAACCAACGACTCAGGGAATCAAACGAGGAACTGAGATCAGAACTCGACAAACGAGACCAGGCCGTCAATGAAGCAGTTGAACTCATCTGCCAGTTGGAAGCGAAGTTGGAAGCCCTTGAAGCTCATAGGGAAGAAGAACGCCCTGTGACCGCCAGACCTTGCTCCAGCGACAGCACGGCCGCTGTGTTCACATCTAGTTCTCCCCGGGCCCTCACGCCCAAGAACAAGATAATTCTGGATGTCCCCGAGCGCACATCTTCCCGCAGGGATAAGCGGCCGTCGATGTCCCGTAGCTACTCCAACCAGATGGAGGTCCATGCCCAGACTCCCACTCCTCCTTCAGGTGCCGTTAGACGTCCGCAGCGCCAACCCTCCTTTCTTCAAGGCGAGGATAACAGTACCAGCGCATTGAGGAATGTATATATGACGGATTCAGACAAGTCTCGAACAACATTCAATGGCTTTTCCGCACGAGGGACCGATGACGGAACACATGAGATTGAGTCTCCTAGGTTAAGCGCATTGAGTGAATGCAGCTATTTGGACCCGCCACAAAGCCCTTCAGGCGCCTATGGATCAGGCCGTTCGAAGTTGAAGGTCAATACTGATATTGCTAGTACAAAGGTTCCTGTTGAAGACTCTCGATCCCCTCTGGACCGCTCTCACAGCGCATCTAAGAAACCAACAGGCCTCTCACGTGTTGAACATTGGATGCAGCCTGGTGCGATGGAAACGACAAAAATATCCAAGCCGAATGAAACCCATCAGCAAGATGCAATTCTACGAACGCCGACAAACAACCAATTTGCTTTGCCTGGGGCTAAACAGCCTTCAAAAAGTTATAACTTTGAACCTCCGTCTTTGGTCATTCCTCAGTATCATGCTGCCAGACTCCCTCCCACGCCAGATACAATGAGCACAACATACGCTGATATACGCAATAAGTCCAACACAAGCATCATTGCTGAGCGAAACAGATATGACCGCTCAAGTACTATTGGACGAACACTTTCCATTGACCGCACTCTCGGACGCCGTCGGTCAGCAAACGACGTCGCTACTACACGACCTAGCACTGCAGAAACAATTCTTTCCGATGGTCTAGAGACATGGAGTGACTCGACTCAGCCAGCCTTTATCACTGACGAAGAGTACCAGATGGCAAGCATGTTTCCCTCCTTTGCGTATACTCACCGTCCAGGTACCCGGACTTTAGACCCTGCCATTCATGCCGGCGCTGTCAATGAGTTGGGCGTACTTATACCCAAGAACAGGAGCCGTCATGGTCGTGAAAAGTCTTCTCAGGAACAGATTCGAAAGGTGTCCAATGCCCCCTCCCTTACGCCCGAGGATTGGCTAGAGGCTGCACTGCCTGCTTCTTCCTCCAACGAAAATAAAGATATCAAGCCATCCCAGCATCTATCCTCAGAGGCAATCGAGCAATCCACAGGCAATGAACAGCAAATCACTCCTGTGAACAACGGCTTCCGCAGCCGAGGTGCTCGTGTTCTTTCTGAGCTTCAACCCCGTCGGCGTATCAACCTGCGTCCCCCATTCTTCAACAAAACTTCTACACTTTCTCCTGCGATCCGCAGCAATTCCATAGCAGGCCCTGCCTCATCCGCTGGAAATTCACCAGCGACAGGTCCTAAAACCCCACAAAACGACCACCACGACACACCCTCCCCCACCACCAACACAGGGGGCACAACCCGTAGACCAAAGACCTCAGAAACAAGCGATCATAAACGGCACAGCTCGCACGGTTTCTTTGGCTGGATAAAAGGTTCCGGTACCGTCAAGGATGCTGATCCATCTCTAACTCCGCCTGCTACGGCAACTTCTATTCTATCAGCATACGCTCATCCGCAATACGATCAACAGAAGGCTCCTTCACATTCGCAAACACAAAGAACGCCTGTTCGGGGAAGTACTCGACCTCTCTCTGCACTAGCATTTACAAATGACCTCTC